ACTGGTATTTGATTGTCATTTGCTACTTGATCAATAAACTATAGCTTTAATTTTTCATGAATAGATCAGTTATTCAAAACAAGCACAGGACAACATTTTCTCCGAAAGCAACAATAGCCTCGCATTGAAAAACTTATACTCTCAAATTTATTCTGCACATGGCTTTGATGAAAGGTGTCAACATTAATTATTGAACATAGTAACAACGAAAGTTAAGAGTTTAGACACGAAGAGAGTTTGACACCACGCAATTTAAGCTGGCTGGATCTTCACCACAAGGTGCAACCCGTCCACGTGACCACCATGACGATGGTGGCCGACTGCTGTCAAACAAGATATTGTAAATGTAACATCATCGCGAGAATATCAAGATTTGCTCGCATTGAATTCAAATAGACTAAAGTAGAACCTATAGGATAACATTAGACTAGCTATTTATATTGCGCTCATACCGGCAAAAAGGAATTAGTTTTTTACAGAAAATATCATATTGAATCTCAGAACATGTACGAGTATAATACGGTCATGCTATTTGTATGTGAAATTTTCAAAACTCTGGCCACATGAGAATAAAATAATCATAAGATTAAATCCCGAAAATGACGACTTGCGAGCAGCACTGCTTTTGATGACTGTGGGAAGGATCATGGAGCCTGAAAGCTTGTTCTAGAAAGAAGTGTGGCAGGGCCATGTCAGAGCTTGTCTATAAAACCTAATTTTCTCGAGACTTTCCAAAATCAGTACAAGCAAACTTAAATGATAAAACACAAGTTAATCAATCTAGTCGACTCGTGTTAAAAAATAGCATTGAATAAATCTGGCTACGTAAGAGGCTAATGTGATAATTATTATAAACTATTTGAACATTCTTATCGTTTTTTTATCATAAATAATTCGGATTCAAAAGTTGGCCGGAGGCCATTATTATGAATGAGGCCGAGGCCGACATAACAATGTCCTGTATAATGACTAAAAAATAATTTCTTCAAACTCGTCATTTTTTCTCATCGTATGCGGCTTGGCAGAAACTGATAAGTAATGTCCAAATGCTATAATGGTACCAATCCTAAGCTGATTTTGTTTAGTTCGTGGTATCGTGGGAAGAAAGTTTTTGATACAATGGTGATTTCTGTCAATGACCTCGCAAGAAATATTATTTCAAATTATGTTCAGAACCTATACAAGAATTTGACATTTTTCGTGAGGTATGGATTTTGTGCACTTCTTCTCAAAAACACAATATCCTTGTGTAATTGGTTATCTGACGCTCATCGTCTATATATGAATTACCTTATTTTATGGGGAAAATAAATGGGTGTGAGTGAAATGAAACAATTGAGACTCAGTTCGGCAGGAGCAAATGTTAATTGATGAGCAACATAATATCGGCTGCATTCACTTCGGTATCGAGCCATGGCGACAGGAAGTCAAGTGGTTGCTGCGACCGATGGGGTCGGCGGATTTCAGACCTGCCTTATCTACCGTTGCAGTCAACAACTTCGTACAGTCGTATCATTTATACGTGACGATGAAACTCTCACGCTATGAACAGCCAACGAATGCATAGAGTCGAAAACGAAATTTGCTCTAACATTCTGCCCTTAGAATACTATTAGTTCTTGGACCTTATGAAGTAAGATTTAAGCTGGATTCCAATTGATTATTGTCATCTAATGAGTCTAAGAAAAAATGTAATTATTTTGGTAATGTTTAAAACAATATGTAGATACTAGAATTATTATGCATCTATCTAACATGATCGTTACAGGCAGATTTATCCTCATTCGTATTCCAGCAGTCAAAATTTTTAAATGAGTATATAGATGCAGAGTTGACGTTGCAAATTCTACCTAAGCTTACAATCACGGCGCAGACTGTACGGAACTGGCGACCCTTCGCCGATTGAGCCGCACGAGAACGTAACGCTCATGCGGGCTTCCGGTTCAACGGAACACTGGCTTTGAGTAGCGTTCTTCGTGCTCTTATTTAATTTTTTGTTAGGGCGAAAGCCGTTATTAACTTTTAATCGAACTTCATCGACGTGAAGAATAAATAAATCGATCGATTTCAGTTTCTTATAGTCATGAATTCGCATGAGCATTTTTTGAAGTATTTCTTAGTTATGATTTTCATCCAGTTAAATCTATTATCAGAGTACGGTAATTTGTACTCTGTTGGTCTACACTACAGTATGTTCACAGAACACACATGAGACCCATCGGCAAAAAAAGTGTTTTTGTACCAGCGAAAGCTTCACGTGCGTTGTATTCATTAGATTGTTAAGAAGGTACAGTTTCAAGTTTTTGTCCTGCCTTTCATTGCGTTCAAGAGGCTTATATGTTGTCATCCACCCCAAAAGTTTGCAAAATCGACATGGCAGCTGTGCGGCGCATGCGCAGATTTTCAATACAGTTGCAATTTATCGATTGCAAGAAATTCAATAGCACGCGACCGGCGCGAGTGGCATACGTTTGCCTCAGGGAGAAACGCCAACCGTATACATGACGCTCAATAATTACTCGACTACACTGGACAGCTGGCTTCTCAACGATGCATTCTGAATTATGTATTCAGTACTTGACAACTCTCGGAAGTCAAAGTACCTACTCTACTCCATAGGGAGGACGATATTTTTGGCAACGGGTGCGACTCTCATTCGTATTCCAGCCATGACGACCGATCGAAGTGTTGTTGGAACAACTCGCTATGTTGTCCCGTACTCTGATTCATTATTTCGTTGTGTATACGTTCCTCGTCTGCGAGGAACGTATGCATCACAGTATGATCATATTCGTCTGCAAATGAATGAGTCGATTGCAAATGCGATTGATTAATTAATGATCAAGAAGTTCGTCTTTTCATTAATAAGATTAAGTCGTCTGCTCGATTGTAGTGGTTCACAATATGAAATAATAGTCGCTTTCGCAGGAGACATGAAGAGAATTCCATGTGGGTAATATCGCACTATTTTAAAATTCTCTTCTTATCTCTCAGCATTTGTGAAAATTTCAATTTTTCCTTCTGATGATGAAAAATTGTCAATTAATTTAATAATCGATTCTCCTAATCGAATGCCTAAATGCTAGCAACATGTCAATGAAAAACATGGAGCTCTGTAACGGAGCATAATTTTTTATTTTGATGCTGTGACTAAATCGTATATCTTTAGCATATACAATTGTGCCCAGTTCAATGGTCCACTTAATTCAGCTGTGAAACTCTAAATATATTCTTATTCCAGTTATTCGCATTTTCACGGTCAATTATACCTACTCGTAAACCCACAAGCATCCGGCCAACAAAAGATGCATTAGCTTCAAACTAATTTACATCGTAAAGTACCATTCACATAAAGCAGAAACCAATGACAGCGTATTTTTTTAGAACTATTAGAACAGAAGGTTACCTTTTTACGTACTGGAATATAATTAGTCGAAAATTCACATGTGTACTTCTATGATCCTGTAGTTGACAACTTGTTTTATAAGCACTCTTAGTACCGTAACGAGTACGCCTGAGAGTGTATTTTACTAAAAACATAATAAATAAAAAATTAATAGACATCGTATTAATTTACAAATACTCGGGTAAAATTTGCATTAAAATTATATATTACTCATCATATAAACTAGTAATATTAGGAGTCTCGGTATTGCGTCGCGTTAAGTCAAGCTATAATATATCCAGTATTAACCTCGGTACAGTCACTGACAAAGAATATTTACGGAAGGACCCAAAGCAACTGTGAAATGCCAGGGGCGATCGACTTGCAGCGAGACGCGTTTTTTGTGCAGTCGAGTGAAAATTATTACGAAGGTGAGCATGAACCTTACACTAATCTCAGCGACTATTTTCTGATGGCACTATTCCTCTCCCATAAACAATTAGCAGAAGCAATGTCAATCATTAGCATTTCATTCGGTTATAAGATGATTTGCATAACATTTTTGTTATTCATGTATATAAACGGCTTAGTGTGCCTACAGAGAATTTATATATATATATGTACAACCAATAGTGAGGAATGCGAAGCTAATTGTGTTGTTAGCCTATTAAATTTTTGGAGGCTTGGATCTAAGTACGATAGAAAAGTTCGTTAGCATTGGATTGTTACAAGAATGATCAGGAAACAGGTTTCTGTGTGTACTATTAGAAAAAAACATTAATGGTTATCTTTTTCGATTAGTAACTTCTTACCTGAGTCACCGAAAACCCAACACCCGAAGGTTCGGTCACCTGAACATCAGTGATTAAGATCTAAACGTCGGAAAAATGGGGAAATAACTTCGATCTCTTGTGATAAGATCTTCAAAAGGTTTTTCTCCTTCCTGACCCGAAGCAATCAGTTATATAACTTGATGAGATGAAATATAAAATTGGTACATATTTAAAAATTGTTAATGAAAAATATATAGCAAATAAAAAAAATTGATTTGTTCCTCATAAGATATCAAAAAGTTTCCGAGGCCAACTGTTTGGCGTAAATCAAATATAAACGGGTTATGTCCTTTAATTAATTATAACGTGATAAAGTAGAGGATTTAAGTTCCAATATATTTCTCTAGAGAACAATGTGCTTGCATGGAGTTACGGGTATTTGCTTGCTATTTAAGCAATATAAATTGCCCTTTGCTATGAGGATATTCATATGTATGAAAGGTAATGAATTAATTATTGATGCTAATCTGTTGCTTAGATTGGAATTTGTGAGACGAAAGCGTAAACATAGTTAATGAGTCCACAACTAAGCTACTCATTATTAACTGATGCGATATGCATTTAGCTACAGCCTTTGTCAAATGTAGGTACCAGATGTCACTAGATAAATAATTCATCAGCTCCACGGCGGAGTCCTGAGCGTCCGGACAGAGCTCGTGAACAAGCAAGCTCCTAGCCTCAGTGGTCTTTGTGGCGTCGAAGTGAGAAGGTGGGTGTTCTTGTGATCTCTACTGCTGGATTATTATCTTGCCAGCGTTGAAATTATTGTTGATGCCCACGTGTTTACCCAAAATCAAATGTAATCTGTGAAATTGTGGTGAAAGTTTCTTCTTGGGTTATTTTAAGTGAAGTTACGCGATTTCTACATGTGAATGTCAATGGTTTCTCCGCTGACTCGCGACAAAAAGCTTGTTCCCTGTGCTAACGCTGTCGGTGAGGGCGCTCTGTACAGGCGAACTGTAGGATGGATGAACGGGAGTTGGTCGAGCATGTGGAGCTGTAGTTTCTAGGATTAATATTGTCAACTGCATTTCGCATGACTCGATGCCCTTCTATACTCTTAAATATCTCATGGTATAGTTGTGGTTTCTGCATGTTAGGTATACGGATTTCGGGCCTGAAAATATTTTTCTGCTACTCATTTGTGACTAAATTTTGGCGAAATTTCTCGTATTTTAATGTGTATGCATCCAGTATTAACTGCTAGGATGGTGAGATAAATGTTACTTTAGACTCGACTCGAGGATAAATATGATACATATCGGGGAATCACGGAAAGTTTTACAAGCACCTCTGACGCTGCTACCAAAATTACCGAATGAAAAACACGAGAGAAGTTGTGGCAATATTTCAAGTTTAAAAATTAGGAAGTCGTTGCTGGTACCTAACTTGGGAAGGAATGGTGACTGACAGTGACCACGAGTCTCCAATCGCATTCTATACGATATAACAAATATATACTTGAACGTGCTCTTCTATACTTTAGGCACTTCGTCTATATCGTTACATTGGCGGCATAGTAGTAACTTATCATTTTCAATTTTACGCAAATAACGCAATACTCGACTTCGTCGACTAAAATTATCAAAACTTTTTACGTGTGATTTCCAATCTAAATGACCGCGGAATGTGACGTCTGATGCGTACTTCTATAGGTACCTATATGTCTATAGGAGTAAAGAAGGGAAATCTTTAAACAAGTATACGGAATTTGTCGCCGTGTTTCACATTTTGTTGCAAATCTGCGGATTGGAATAAGACATCGAACTACAAGACTTGTATTTTATATAAATCATTATGTGAGTGTAAATTGTAATGGCAAACCTAGTTTCTATTTAATTACTCATTCATATTTTCCGATTACGTGCAGAATGCAGCGATTTTTTTTTTGTCTCATTTATTCTCCAACCGTTGTACAAATTGAATTTAAACCACATTCCGATAGTTATGTGAGTTTAGAATAGCGGTTTCACGCTGTTTACAATATTCTTGTTTACCATGGGCTGTTTACCAATCTTGACATGACATGAATAATATTTTTCTTAACATTATTTTAGCTGTGTCTCCACTATATTCTCATTACTTATTCTCAATAGCCCAGTTCTGAACAGATTTAATTTAAGCACGAAAAATTCCTACGCCCGTTAAATTTAGCTCTGAAAAATGTGGGCGTGGATTGATCTTGGGATTCTTTATTGTTCAATACGTACATGAAAGAAAGCAGTAACTCCTATCGCTGACAGCGTTGATGATGCCGCTCTTGATCTATTGATTTGAGACCTTCAATGTCAGTTAACCGTCATGTGGTGCTTCACAAGTTCACTACACTAATAAATGTTTTCTCTTCATATATTTTAAAGCGATATGAGTGTGACAAGTTTTATCTAGTACTGAAGCAGTTATCAACATATCGAGTACGTATATCAATTTTCTAATACGACAGACTTGAGACATTTTGCTTGGTACTGACTAAACTGTTGACAAGAAATTCCATCCGAATCCTGAAGTATTAATGCAGTAAGTTAGAGCGCACCTTGAATTCTTCTTTATTAATAATAGTGATTATTGCATGGGATGACCTGCGGTGGTATATATTTTCTCGAATGTAACAAAATGCATGCTTATAATAAAAAAAGATAACACAAATGGATTAGAAAACTTTTTATCGCCTAATAATTTATTTTTTATTCCGTCATAAGATTCACAAAATTTTTATTACGTAAACGGTTCTCAAGCTACTGTGTGATAGTGTCACGTTTTGGCTGCTGCTGAGATCTTGAAACGACATGCAATCGAGATTTAAAAACAGTAATGTTGAGACAATTGTTATGATAGAGGAGACTGAAAGTAATGGTTATCTCTGAAGTAAACGACTCTGTAGGCATGTATATCTTGGTGTTATCTTCATAGGACGAGTTGCTCGTCTTTTCTTCTCTCTCATCGCTGTTCTTTGTGAAGCGGTTGCCAGTATGGCCGGCTAGAAAGGTGAGCTGCGTCGGCAGCTGCGCAGGCGAGCGACCAAGAAGGCTGTGCCCGAGTTAGGCCTAAGCGACCGCACACGCTGCTACCTTCACAAAAAAAATCCTACTACTGCAAACCCTCGTACTAATCAAAACAGATTCCTACATTTAAATTTGATAGTTTTGAATGAATCTTAGATAAGGTATTGTGATATTCTTGTAACGTAAATTCAACATCATAGTGATGTTTATCTTGAAATTCGCTGTTGCGACGATAAGTGAAAAACCCTACTTTTCTGTTCAAATGAGCGAGTTGAGTTTTAGCTAATGTTGGACGAGTGACAGCGGTCTAAGTAGCATATTTACCCAGATCTCTTACTAAGATCTCTAATGTGATTTCTTGATAAGGGTATTATGTTTAATTTAGCCTTGCAATCCCTCCCTATTACTCGTCGAAAGTAACATGTTCAAAACAATTGAAATAAAGATTAATTTTTCAGTTTTTAGTGAAACACCGCAATTTAAAAAGGCCAGTGGTTGATTACTCAATTATATATAACCGTTTCCAGGCTCAATAATCGATTCGAAGTTTTATGTTATTGCATCAACAGATCTTGAGCAATCTTTATGCGCCTCCGGCATGTTACTAATAAATTTCGCCTCTATCATGAATCCGTCGTCGAGTTATAATAGTTTTAATCTTGATTCGATCCGAGAACTTCATTTCTTCAACCGATTTCTCGAATCTGAAGACAGCGTCTCTAATACTTTTGTCTCAAGATCGAATTTTTTATGCTGAAAAACTAAGCCGAGTTATATTTTTTTGCATGGCTTTTAAGTTGTGTTTCGTACTGACATATACTCAAGTGTTAATCATTTAACAATATGTTCTAACTAATCGATCTGATCTTAAAATAAATCTTGTTATGTACACGATTTACCACAAGCTCAATTTTAGATTAATTGTAGTCAACGTGATAAATAGTGTATAGAAGCGTTTAAAATTTATGAGTAATTTTGATGTAAATAATTTGTTAACTAATTTATTTAACACAATCGTACAATTAATATACTAATTTTCGTTCTTACTAATATTGGGGTTGATTCGTATAATTTGTTATGTTCGCCAATTTGTTCGTATTTTACATAAATTATCGAGGAACCCAACTTCTTTGTCTAGAATGTTCGATAATTTCTCGTGCATATTGCATACGGATTTTTTTATATACCGTATGCCGCGCACCGTCGCGAAAATATTATCCTGATGATACGCGTGGAGCATTATAGCTGGCACATTTTTCGTTAATGATAATTTAATTTCGTATTACAAATTTCTCTGAATCGCTTTTATTATTCGTTGATAACTTGAAAATTGCTTTGGCGTTAGTGCAGACTTGTTTGATTAGCTTCACTTGGCCTGTACCTGCCTACCTGCCTATTATAGCTCCCTTCCGGCGTACCCATGAAAATCGGACGTTTAGCCCTAATTTTTTTGGCCGTAGCGCGACCAACTGCCTTCCAGATAAGCGCATTAGCCTATGACCAGCGTGACGAACCTGCTTTGTTTTAAGCGTGTTTTTTGCCGCGTATGTACGACAAATAAATTGAAACCTCCTTGTTTTTCATCTTCTGAAACATTAGTAGATATTTCATTTCAGTGGAAAGAATCTTCCAGCCTCATTTGGTGTTAGGCAGCTGCCGAGTGCGTCGCGTTGTGTTTGCTCTGTGCTGACTTGTGGAACATAAAATTTGAGTGCCTGGAATTGAACTCATCTAGTGCTTGCTCTTGAAGGATCTTGTTTTGAGGTGAGTTGTAGCTCATAAGCATGCTGTACATGAGCGTGTAATGTAGTCTGTAGTAACTTGTACTTATTATGGTAAATCAAATAGAGTAATTATTTAATACATAAGCGTATGTTCGTGTAGCATTCATAAATGGAACGTACTGAGATTAGTGGTATAAGTATACAAATTTTATCCTTCAGTCAAAACTTCTTTGTAGCGAGTTGCAAAAATTAATTATTTGTCTTACTATGATTTAAGATTCGTGCTTGTGTAGATTTATCGATCTTTTGGACTCCTTAATCTTTACTGTAGCGCGAAAAGTTATTTATTTTCTTCATAGTACTGAAACCCAGCGTCTAATTGCAATATTGAATGCAGTTTAATTGAGTGTTGCCATTCACAGTGGTTTACGAGATCATCGGGTTAAAGGGCTATGTATATACATATTATCATAAGCTAACAAGAAAAGTCCCTGGTTATTAATAAAGATTATAAATTTATTCCATAGCTTTGTGCATTTTTGGTATTTCATTTATTATTTTTTTGGTTAACTCACATCTTTATGTTATCGGTAAAATATGCCCCCCGAATATTTTAATGCAAGTTTGTTTCGATTCGATTTCTCTGATTTCTCTTTAATTTGTTACGTTGATACTATGTAAAGAGTGAAATAATTACATACCTTTTATACAGTGGGCAAAATTTTTTATTCACAAGTTTTCGAGACGGAAATTCGGTGCTAAATAATCGGCTACGTCTATTAAACTGTAATTTTTAATGGACAATAGTCATATATAGTGCAGGCCATTAAAAATCCGAATCAAGTTTCATAAATATTACTTCGTCTTCCAACTGGCAGACGGAAATTCGGTGCTAAGTAATCGGCTACGTCAATTAAATTGTAATTTTTAATGGACAATAGTCATATATAGTGCAGGCCATTAAAAATCCGATTCAAGTTTCATAAATATTACTTCGTCTTCCAACTGGCAGACATTCATATTGCAGTCATTTGAGTCATTTCGTGATCTCTGAAACGCAACCACCAGATATATCCATCATGACCAAATCCAAGTCATGATTTGAGATTTTTGTCCTAAATTTTTGTGTAATTTGTGTAATTCAACTTAAAAGTTCATGAAATGCATTTCAAAGATACAGTCCTAAGAAAACGCCCACGAATGAGTGACTGGAATGAGGGGAGCAAAGTGCTTAGACTTTTTAGCCTGTTGATATTTTGGCTACTGATATAAATTGAAATCTTATCGTATTTTCAAACTCTATCCGGTAACTATAAAATAGGTAAAACACTTTCGGTATGTTACTTTTAAGTAAATGACTTTACTCAAAAATGACTAGGTACATTCATTTCTTCGAAACTTGCGACGAAAAACTGAAAAATGTTTTTAATGGCCAGCGCTGTATGCATCTAACTTTCTTTTTAATTTGAAATGGTCTAATATATCAAGAGCTTTGATTTATACTCTTATATATAATTAATATTTTCTTAATGCCTTACCTTATTTAGTTAACAATTTTTCCATTCATTGCCTTCAGCCGATGAACTTGAAGAGTAATAAGTTTAAAAATAGTAGCATGATTAGAATTTAGGTGCAATTGAGGAAAGTTGGAAATGAATTGGGTAGATGTTTCTATTTGCCGTCAAATGTTACTTTTTTATCAACTATTGTGCAGTGAAATGACTGCAATATTTATGCTTGTGCATTTATATTTCTGTTCTAAACCTGTAATTGTTTATAATTCAGAACTAAAGTAATGAGTTGAAGGTTTTCAGTATAGACAAAACTGTTTACCTTGTCAAAGATGATTGCTAAACGTTTCATTGACTAAGGTTACCAAGCAGCATGAACTATTTGTTGTGATAGATCAGTTCATATTGACTACCCAAATTATATATTTATAGACACCTGCAACTCACGAAATGAGGAATGCTGCTCACTTTGTAACACTGAACCTGAAGTCTTTCAAAATTTTTCTTATCAAAGAAATACCTACTTTGTTTGTTAGTTGCTTTCAAGAGATACTGATTTGTAGGTACATAATTTAGTGCTGAACTTGAGTTCTTTGAAATGTGCTTCTGGGTAAAAATATTTTGTAACGTATAATCCTCATGTTTTTGTCCTCACAATGACGATTACTGGAACTTTATATGTGATGCAGCATTGGTATCGAATGTTCACTGCACCTCTAATTTTGCTTTTTCCTTCGATCAGTTCAGTTTTATCAGTGAATGCTAACATTTCTATGCTCGTAAAAGTCACACTGAAAATAATTCACTTTAATACAATTATTCAGTTGGAATCTCTATAACTAACAAACGGCTGGAAACTAAGTAACTGAATAACGAAAAATATAATTCTTTATTTGTCTCACTTTCAATCTATCTTTCGAACCTTCAAACATTTGAATACACTAAAGCTCGATTAAATATAATTTTGTTGCCAGAAATTTAACCGTCAAGTTTTCTAGTTAGCGATCGAAGCTGAAAGCGCCATAACCTATTTGTGATATTTGTTCTAAGTACTTTTATCGGATAACTTTGTTTTGCACGTTGCCTTATTTAAAACATATACTCATTCCGCAGATTCAACGATGGGCGGACCAAACCCCGTGTTTCGATCGTTCAACCTCCTGCAGCAATTTTCTCAGCTGGTGACCGGTGCCTTCTCCAGCAACCCAGTTACACATACGTCTCCCAGTGATGGCAGGATCCTGCGAATGCATTACCAATGGACGCTCTGGCTCTTACTCACAGGATTTGCTTGCGTGTATTATAACTGGTTTACAAGAGACATTATTGTTTGCGTGTCGCATTATAATGCTGATGTGCAGGTTCGTTTAGATTATCTCAACATCTGCACTTCTTACCCTTACATTCTTGACGAGGCGGGCAAGGTTGTCACCTTACTCTTCTACCGATACGTTCACTGGGTCTTGCTCCTGTTAGGCGCTCTATATTACATTCCTCGAAGACTTTCTAAAGATCACGAAAACGTCAAACTCAAACGATTGTTTGAATATTTGAATGCCAATGGACATCAATACGAGGGAGCTGAAAAACAATTGGTTGATGCTACAGCCAAATACATGGTAGTCAATATGAAAACTCACGACTCGCTGTTCATGAAGTATTGGATTTGGAACGTCGTTTCGCTTGGCATTGATGTTTTCACGTTCTACTTCTTAGACTGGTTGCTGTTAGGCAAATTCTCAGCCTTGGGATATGCATCTTATCCTTACTATCGTGACGGAGAATACCAACTGGATTACATTTCGAAAACTTTTCCTCCATTCGTCGAGTGCACCATTGGAATGTCACATGAACTGAGCAATAAGCGTGTTGAGAAGTACGGTTGCCATTTAACTGCGATGGAGATCTACGAAAAAGTGTTTTTCGTTCTTTGGTTCTGGTTGATCATTCTAATGGTTTTAACTTCTGTGTACACTGTTTTCCTGGGTTTATTCTACAATGCAAAAACACGAAATTTAATCTTGAGATTCTCCAAACCCATGAATGCTACGGTGTCATCACGAAAAGCGATAGACAATCTCTCAAGGTACTGCAAGGCTGGTGATTATTTTATACTCTACAAACTACGACAGCACTTTGCACACAAAGATTTCTTCGAATTACTGCGCCGCATTTGCGATGAAGAATTCCGAGATCGTGTGCTCATCGGCCTCAAGAAAGAACACCCGATGTACACGAGCGTCATGGAAGAAGACGACGTTATTCTTATGGGCTCACCTTCACGGAAGACTAACACAGGAATATTGGTTGATTAGACTCAAACCACGTCTTGACTGCGAATATTTTTTGGTGCTTGAGTATTAGAAACCCAAATGACGTTTTGTTAAAATCATGGCTTAGTCACATTTAATGTTTAACAATGCCATGCCTGGAGGAGCCGGCTAAGCTCAACTTAAGCTGACGGTTGTGCTTTTAAGAATTGCAGTGTAAATTTGAAAAAGAGATGTTATTGTTAAAACTAAGTGACAGTTGTTGAAGTATTTTTTACGCTCGGTTATTTTGACTGGTCTACGGACGGATTTCACTTTTAATTAGACTTGTAAAATGTCTTCTTTTTAGATTCACAAAGTAGAAACATTTGTGCCACAGCTCCTTTAACCCACTGGAATTCTCTTGTACATATTTTAGACTTAAGCGCACTCGAGTTTCTGGCGAAATTCTTCTCAGCGTAAAATAAGTTTATACTGTTGTTTCTTTTCCTAGTAGTAAATATTGTCTTATTTGTGTACTTTCATTGTTCATCTTGTTGACATAGCACCCCGAAAAAAATACCGCAGGAAGCATTGATGTTTAAGGGCTTCTATTGCGGCATCAGGAAAAATTCTAGCCTTTCTGATAGCCAAAAAGTATTCAAAGTTCTCATTCTCATTTAAGTTGTGTGACAAATTTTTTAAAACTTGAATTTTTATTTAATGTGCAAATTCACATTTTGTTGCTTGTCCATGGTTCCTGATGCCGTAACAGTTCCCTTATTACATCGGTGCTGGGGCTCGACAAACCCCCGGTTTTCCAGTCAGAACTTCTGAGGTAGACACGCACTCTGTAGATTGATAACCCACCAGTGCTATAATATACCTAGTCTTTTTAAAACTCAAACGAGCCATTATATAGGTTTTAACTTGGAGCGTCGCAGTTCAATTATAATTTTTCAACTTTTCTATTAAATTCCTGTAAAATCTTTCAATTTTGATAAATAATTCTACCTACGAAAAAGTGTCACGTGTTCTTTACTCTCACCGCGTTTCAGTTTGTCCTTTATAGTTCATTGACATATTTTCTTATTGTGCATACTGGTGCCATATTGTCTTTATATGCATTTTAATTTTGATACATTCCACGTAGTAGAACATTTTTTGAGGATAGGTTTTATTCAGCTTCGGCTTTAAGCCTCAATATTATCTGTTTTACTGAACGTTATAGTCTAATAGAATGTTTACTAGCGTAACATGCCATTTTGTAGGAAATAATTTTCGATAACGAAAAATTAACTCAATATATTTGTTCAATTTTTTTCTACAGTTTAGTTTTTTTATTTTTATTGAGAGTACGGCAAGGACTTCGTCCGATCTCTTTTTCTGCTTCATCTCGTCAGCAATAAGGCAAGTATCGTGGAATATATATTTATGATAACGTGTGTGTGTGTGTGAACATACTTTGTTTCGCATAATTCATACCAATCTCCTCGAGAGTTTGTGAAAATATCTACTAAACTCAATCTGGAAGTGAAGTGATCTGACTTGAATTTACTTTTCCAGGTCCCAAAATGGCCATCGCTGGAGCTACTACGACTGGCAACATCGTCAGTCAAGTTGTTTCACAAGTCGTCAGGGTCGTCAAAAAAAAGAAGAACTCCCCTCCTCCATCCGACTGTTTCGTCCTCCGAATGCACTACAACTATGGCTTCTACCTCTTCGGTTTTCTGTTTTGGGCCACGTTTCACTCGTGGTACGCTAAAGACCCGTTGACGTGCGTTAGTCATTTCAACGCTGAAGGCCAAGTTCGCGTTGATTACCTGAATTTCTGTATGACTTACATCTACGTTCCCTCAGACGATAACCCTGAAAAAAGAAGATATTTGTTCTTCTACCGATGGCTTCACTGGTGCATGTTGATCATTGCACTTGCTTACTTCATGATCCGCAAGTTTGCCAAGTCATTTGAAAACAAGAAACTGAGGAAGCTGCTCGCCGATGTAATTCACACTACTTCAAGCTATGACCCGAGTAGTGAACGAGGACCTGTGGAAAAATTAGTTCTCTATTTGTCTGGTCATCTGAGGTCACACAATCCTATTTTCCTCAATGCTGTCCTCTCTGTGATATTTGCCCTTATTGTTGACCTCCTCTCATTTTGGTTCGTTGATTACCTTCTGCAAAATCGTTTCTACAATTACGGTCTGATGGCATTCAATACTCCTCGCGACACTATCAATTATTCGGATTACATTTCTCGCATCTTCCCGCCATTTGCCAAGTGTACCATCGGCGTGCAGCACATGCTTACTGCTAAACGAGAAGAGACCTTGGGCTGTCACTTGGGCATCATGGAAGTGTACGAGAAATTATTTTTCTTCGTGTGGGTGTATTTGGTTGTCGTAGTACTGGTCACTATTGGGTATTTGATCAACCTTGCATTCTATTTCCATCCCTATTATCAGCAGCTGGCTCTCAAACCCCAACGCCCTGTCCTTGCCGAAGACGACAAAGATGTTGAAAAGAGATTAGAAAAAGTTCTGAAAAGGTGCAAAGTTGGAGACATCTACGTGTTGAAGAAACTGAAAGCTCACCTCTCGAATACTAGATACTACATGTTGCTGTGCAGATTGAGCGATCCTTCCCTCGCCGATGTTATCAGCCACGATCCCACTACGCTAAAAATTAACAACCGGCCTTCTAAACAAGTCGTACCTCAAGGAAAGCCTGGGATGATGGGTAATCAGGGCATGCAGGCTTACATGATGATGAATCGAGGCCAGAAAGGCATGCATTAACAAGGAAGCGTTGTAAATCTTGACATTTTATGCACAAAACCTACTACATCTGCTGTCATATGTATCTAAAGTAGAGCAGACACTTCGATTGTTGATTGTTGTACATAATTTTAGGCTAAATAAAATGTTATGCGAGCTTCATGAACATACTAAGATCGCGTGTTGTTATCTCGCACATCGTCCTGCCATTATTCTTTAATGATTTTACTGACAATTTGAGGATATGTTTTTAAATGCTTTCATAACCTACCGACTGCTTCGTGTTGAAATGTTATTAGCTTTGTAAAACGCTCGTATTTTCGTCGATTGATACTAGTTAATCTATCCCAATCTGCTAATGTTTAAACTGAAAAATATGCAGTTCAGCATTATCTGCTATAGACGACGATCAATCACCTTTGTCTTGGATTTCATTCCTCGAGGTGCTAGTTTTAAAATATTTATTTTTAAAATGTCGATTCAGACATTTTCCTTTGCCATTTTACTGAGACAATTTTGCGGTTTTTAGACCAGTTGTGACATTTAATTTTTTCTTGCCGTAGGCTTGCTTGTTCAAAACTTCTAGAAACTAATGCTGTATCTATGTAAAATATTATTATTAATAAATTTAAAGCTACTTTCATGTTGTGCTCCTTACCCTTCGCTTCTCATTTCATTGGATCGCGCGTGGAAGTAGGCTTATTTCATTGAAACGTCCTAACAGGCTCCGAATCATCGATATTTCAATGTAATATAAGATGATCTCCAGGTAACAAAGTCCTCCGGATTAGATGCGTCTCGTGTGAAGTTAACACTTGCTCGTGAGCAGCTTGTACCGCACCACCAAGGAACCGTTTAATTAGTGATAGTAGCTAGGATTCAGCAGTTATCGTCTCGTCGCATCTTAACAGTTCCCGGAATGTAGGGATAGGTACTTTTAACCCGTCGACAATAGGGAGATGATGCCTTTATAATATTTCTCATTTTATGTTGGACTGGATGTATTGATTTTACTTATTGCTTCTGATCGCGTAGAAAATACGACGTTCCTTTGTACCAGCTTCGATTTTTCGAGATTCCTCGTATGGATCCATTTTCATCGTGTGCGAGGGCGATTGACCAGAAAAACTCGCTTATTACCTATAAATACTAGAAAAATTTAAAAATTTGTATGATGGTAACGAGGTATATATAGAATCGGCTCGGCTTATTTCTTTTACTCGGAGTACGTAATTTGTCATCACGGAGCGCTGTGGCTTCATGATAGATTGTTCATACTTGGTTTAATTACCCGAGTGCCACATCGCCAAATCGCACACGCCTCTAAGAAAAGCGACTGAAAATTATTATTTTTCCGTTTTACATGGTACCTATGCATTGAAAACTCTAGGGAACGCCAAAATCGTTACAAAACACAACCAAAAACCGAATGACTGGAATGAGCCGTACCTTGGGATGAGAATCTCGCTAGAAATACATGCATCGAGCAAGTTTCGAAGAAGTCATTCAACAAAGCTTGTCGCATGTGTCGCGCTTGTTGCTCTGTGAAATGCCGCATTATGGAGAGTAAACGATCCTCATTATAGCTACCATGTTACCTACTCTACCTGCGGTGCGAATACTGGTAAATGAATGGCTTTCGCTTTGCTTTAATTTGATTCTGGGCATTGTTAAATTACTTAAAAGTACTATAATGAACATAATTGGTTACGTTCTTTTGATTTCGCTAATTCTGTTGATGCCCATCGAACATTTTTCGAAAAAAAATCCATTGTATTCAACAAGCTATTTTGCGGTGGTCTGTTTTCGTTTAAAATAAAGTGTAAAAACATATCTGATCATGGCTTTCAGCGACTTCGTTTTAACTAAAGTAAAAACAATTGATCTTTAATAAACAATCGGGCTCCATATTTTTAAATCTTGTTCTTGCGTGTCTCGAGAGTTTTTTTCATGAATAATGACTTAAAGGAGATGGTGCCCCATCTTAGACCAGGTGACTTGGTATTTGTAATACAATTAACTTACTGATACGTCGGGTCAAGGGTCAACGAACTTTTTCTCACTGTAATAATAAGAATCTTAAGGCCCTGAGATCATGACGCCATTTGGCGCAGGCAACATGAGCATGGTGTTCATGACGAGTGCGGGCAACATGAGCATGATGTTCATGACGAGTGCGGTTGACGAGTGCGGGCAACATGAGCATGATGTTCATGACGAGCGCGGTAACATGAGCATGATGTTCATGACGAGTGCGGGCAACATGATCATGATGTACATGACGAGTGCGGTAACTTGAGCATGATGTTCATGACGAGTGCGGGCAACTTGAACATGATGTTCATGACGAGCGCGGTAACATGAGCATGATGTTCATGACGAGTGCGGGCAACATGATCATGATGTCCATGACGAGCGCGGGCAACATGATCATGATGTTCACTATCATATTCTAGAACCCTCGACGGGCGTATGAACAAACGCTGCGAGCTTCAACCGACCACCGAGCCATATTTCCGCTATTTCTCGGTCATGATAGAATAAATAGCCATCAAACGCTAGATGATAAATTGTTGATGAATGCTCGGTATTCATTCTGAAAATTGAACTGAAAACCTCGACAATTATCATTATTCACTTTTCTATTGTAGTTTTTGATCTTTACGTCATAATTTGTCGCTTGTGTGAACTGTGGTACCGTAATCACGAAGAACGCATGACATGAAGACCATGCTACTCGTGTTTTCCTGCCAACTGAATAAAAATATGAAGAATACTAAGTCGCAAGAATATCGATGTACGAATATTTTTTAATTATTTGAGTACTCGCATGTTAATTTCCACCAGTATATAGATTACGTCGAAGTATATACTATATAGACTAATTTCAGAAGAGAATATAGATTGTAAACTCGATTAGTTTCGGGCTTCTTAATCAACAGTGGTCAGTCAACCTTTAAGCTCGGTCTTGTACTCGGCTCACGCAGGCTCAAGTGATGTTCTTCACTTAGCGATTCGAGTTACGACTAACATAATATACTAGGAATACGACTCATGAAAAATCGTTGTTTATTGTAACTCGTCACTGCCTGACACACTTACCGCTGCGCGAATTTAAAAATTCAATTCGTGATAAGTCGGCAGTGTTTCCTCGTAAATCGTTTCGTCTTCCATTGCACCTGCTTGAGAATTAATCGCTACCAGCTAATGGTAGTGGAGTTGGTTTTCACTTTTCAAGGAAACAGAATATAACGTTGAAAATAGGCACAACAGTTGATATGCATTGAACAATTCAATGGAAGAATTGACGTGCAATTAATCTACGCAGGATTTAGGCTTTGCTTGTATCTGTTTACTTCATTATCAAAGCTGAAAGTATTTTTTAAACCTTTCGAGGAAATTTATTGATATTATGGTTCTTTGGCGTTAGGGCTTATCAATAATTAACTGGGAAAACATTTTAATTGGTATCCTTCTAATACGATGCTAACGATCAATAGCGTTAGGGCTCATCTATAATTAACCGAACAATAATTTTAACATTTTTTGAACAATCATTTCAATAGGTATCATTTTTGGACGATGTTGACACTCATTGACGTTGGGGCTCGTGTATAATTAACTGAACAATGATTTTAATTTGTTTCTTTCTTAGACGATGTTAACGATGAATTTTTGTGTGCAGGACGTGGAGTATTCGTCAGGACTAAGAAGAGGAGGCACGGGAGCCCCACGGTTTACTTCGTCACTCAACACGTCGTCCTAAAGGTGAGTCAGTCGATCTACGTTGCCTGTAATTCAATCCAAATTTATTTCAATTACTCACTACCTCCATCTCCTTGTAAATTTATCTTGGGGCTGTCGAATTAAGAGGTTTTAATTGTCCTCTGTGCTAACTGATTTCAATTTAGACATGTGTTGAAAACCCGGCATCTGTACCTTACATACTACATGTTCATTAGAGCTTCCCCTTGCGCTAAATACTTATTCGGGCAAATAGTAGATCTGCTATTATTTTACCTATTTCTAAATCCCGGTGAATTCTTGTTATGACAGGTTCATTGTAGGCGCTGCATTACTGTGAAGATCAATTCATTTCTTACTCTTCTTTATTCACTTTGTTATGAGTCAGTTCTAAGCTCTCTCGACTGTTCAAAATCGCCTTGTAAATTGATGTTCGCAGTCATAAGACTATTGCTTGATTACTCTGCTAAGGATGCTATTATTCAAAATAGATATAGGAAGTAAATAACTTACTATTGTTTGCATATCTTACGCTAATCGGCAACGTTTTTCACCGTACAAAATTAATTTAATTTTTGATTCCAAAGGCAAATGTCCTTTATAATAAGTGCTTTAAACTATTACATTTTACTCCCGATTGTTGACTCCCCCTTTTAAAGTTATGATGGAAGTAGTAGAAAATATGAAAAAATCTGTATTCCATTATTAAAACAATAGCTACAGTTGCATATGCATTTAATGAAATGTAATTAATTTATTCAATTGAATAAACTCTTTTGCAGTGTTTTATGGGACGTATGAAGACGGTAATTTAATCCGTGAGGAGAATGCCATTTATTTGTCATTGTGTTAAGACGAGGAAACAAAAACTGAGAACCTCAGCACTTGGGGGAGTGATAGAGCGTACCAGTAATTTAGACTTCTCTATCTCTTTTCAGAGATAAAATCATGGGTATGCCCGGACAAGGTGGCAGGTCGTTCGACATTATTCGACAAATCGTTGGAAATGTGGTTAATATCTTCAATAAGCGCCCTACTGTTTGCACTGCGCCTTGCGATGGCATGGTACTTAAGATGCACTACCAGTGGACCTTTTGGGTGATGCTTGGAGGTTTCTCTGCCATCTGGTACTCATGGTTCCACAGAGACGTGATCACGTGTGCATCGCACTTCAATGCAGAAACTCAAGTCAGATTAGACTACATCAACATTTGTTTATCCTATCCATATATAGAGGTTGGATCTGATCGGCGCTACCTACTCTTCTATCGATGGATACATTGGGTTCTGCTTATATTAGGCGCTTTGTATTACATACCGCGGAAAATATCGAAAAATGCGGAAAACCCAAAAGTCAAAAAGCTCTTCGAAGACCTGGCCGTGGGAGTTCACAGATACGATAATTACGAGAGGGAAATGGTTGACCGGGCCGCCCGTTACATGGCTTTCAATATCAAAACTCACAACGCTCTTTTCTACAAATACCTTTCTTGCAACGTCATCGCTCTCGCTATAGACCTATTTGCCTTTCATTTCCTCGATTATGTCTTCCAGAACAGATTTCTGAAGCTGGGTTTTCAGTCCTATCCCTTCAACCGAGACCCTAAGACTTTCACTGACTACATGTCTCAGACTTTCCCTCCATTCGCTGACTGTGAATTGGGCGTGGAGTCTCAGCTCGTGAACAAGCGAACAGAAAAGCTCGGTTGTCACTTGACCGTCATGGAGCTCTACGAGAAGATTTTCTTAGCCCTCTGGCTCTGGCTCATCCTATTGACGATCCTTACTTCCCTCTACATCGTGTATCTCTTCTTCTTCTGGAGCCCCTGGGCCCGCCTCCACATTCTACGAGTCTCAAAACCTGTGAATGCAAAAGACACCGTCCGAAACACTGTAGTGAGCGTCCTTCAAAACTGCAAAATTGGCGATATTTACCTGCTCTACAGACTGAGGCAGCACTTCAGTCACGCTCGCTATTATGATCTCTTGACGAAACTTTCAGATCCTGATTTCTTAAGAATGTTCTTGGATAACGTGAGCATAGATCACAAAGGTGGTGGACAACAAGACCTAAGACACCGAAACAAGGCTCCTATGATAAAGAGTCCTGGCAAATACGACCTGTACACGAAGCCCAACAAGGGCATTCTTGTGGAGTAGTATATGGTGCACATGACGCGAGAGGATATTCGCAGGTATTATCTCGTTGCATTTGTCGTTTATGTTACGCGTATTCATGTTGCGAGAACTGGCTGGCAATAACGAAAGAAGTTCTAAATTACTGGTACCACTGTCACTCGAGTCCCGTTTTTTCCGTTCAGGCTGAGGGGGAAGTTCACTTTGTTTGGCTCTGAATGTAATGACTGTGATGTATTTTTCAGGGCGTGTCATTCAAAAATGGCTATCGTAGGCCACGGAGGGACGGATATCGTTCGACAGTTGGTCGGCAATGTGGTGAACATCTTCAAGAAGAAACGAGCGCCTTGTACATCTCCGTGTGATGGTTTTGTTCTTAAAATGCATTATCAGTGGACCTTCTGGTTATTGCTAGCCGGCTTCTCGTTTGTTTGGTATTCGTGGTATCACAGAGACGTTATCACATGTGTGAATCATTTCAATGCTGAGACTCAAGTAAGACTGGATTATATAAACATTTGTCTTTCGTATACATTCGTTGAAGAGCCGGGCCAGGAAAGGAGATACCTTCTTTTTTATAGGTGGATTCATTGGACCTTGTTAGTTCTTGCTGCATTCTATTACATCCCTAGAAAGTTTTCCAAGAACTCTGAGAATCCTAAAGTGAAAAAACTTATTGAAGATCTGGCGCTGCACAGTGCTCGCTACGACCACGCCGAGAGGGAGCTCGTCGAGCGAGCTGCCCGCTACATTGTCCTCAACCACAATACCCACAATGGCATCTACTTCAAATTCCTTGGCTGTAATGTTATTGCTCTGCTTGTCGACATATTCTGTTTTCAAGCATTGGATTTCGTGTTCCAAGGACGTTTTATTAACTACGGATGGATGGCCTACCCGTATGAACGAGATCCTGTCAACTTCTCAGATTACATGTCAAGGACATTCCCTCCCTTCGCTAAGTGCGAGCTGGACCCCCACAACAAACTTGTTGCCCGGCGTACCGAGACTTTAGGTTGCCACTTGACCGTCATGGAACTTTATGAAAAAGTCTTCCTCATCATCTGGGTTTGGTTGATTATTCTAACGACTGTAACGTGCGCGTATCTCATTTTCCTCGGATTCATGTGGCTGCCGTATTTCCGTCTGATGATACTGAAGGTCGCCAAGCCCCCAAATGCCAAGGAGACGGTCTCAAACACCATCATGAGCGTGCTGAACTGCTGCAAGATCGGCGACGTGTACCTCTTGTATCGCCTCAAGCAGCATCTCAGCCACGCCAGGTTCTATGAGCTGCTCACGAGACTCGATGATCCAGAGATGGTCCAAATGATGACCGAAGATCCCGCCGACCGAGTCGTGCAGGCCAAGAATCAAGACAACTTACGGCACCGGCAGCCTAAGATGACTGCCGCCACACCCAAAGGGAAGTTTGCAAACCCAGCAGAAATATTCATACCTGGAACCAATGGTTATCTAGTGGAGTAAAGTCATATGAGTATTGTGTAGTTGTGAGACCGAAATTGTGATTTTGCATGTCAATTTTTTATCTGGAAACAAAGAGTAAAAAGGATACAAAAAATAATAATAACTCAGTGTTTAAAGTGCTGTTGTTGTGTGCATGGAGCTCTTACATGAATTACTTGAAGTGTTCAACGCTCTTCACACACGTTGGTGGTTTGGCCTCCTGCCATATCTTGTCTCATTAGCTTAGCTAGCCTCGTATATTTTGATACGAGCTTTTGAACGGAATGCTCAGGTTAGTCCATTTTTTATTTAAAACTAAATCAATGGAAATTTATTTCCTATCATTCAAACAACATGGAATGTGAAGTACTATCTAATTTCTGCTGAACCTACCGTTTATTAATGCTTGTGTTTGTAAAATGCTAAAAAATGTCATATGATACCTTGTTGAGAAATATTTTATTTCATGTTTAAATTTAAAGCCTCTAGTTGCTAAATTTTGCAAATATCAGAAGGCAGTTAAACCTGACAATATATTCCAAGCGAGCTTATAATATGATATAAGATTACGAATTCGCTACAATGTAAAGATTAAATAACATTTAGTGCGTTTGCTGATTGCTAAATCTAAGTAACTCTTATGGATATTTTCTAACTTATTATTTCCCTAGTTTAAAATTATTCTCAAGATTATCTTACCTTTTTAATGTCTAAGACTCTTTGGTTACACGTGTCTTTTGAAATTCTACGCGCCAATTGAGGGTATTTAAGCCTCCCATCTCATGTTAATGTGTAACCATTGTTTGGCATTTGTTTGATCGTAATTAAGTAGTCTGTGATAAATAAACTCTCCTGATGTTTGATCTTTGACGCGTCCCGTTCTGACTTGTTATTCTTGTGCCACCGCGTTCAAATTTATACCTAAATATTCATTCTTACATTCAGCTCACAGAACGAAATGCCACGTCACTAATATTATTTTGTGAGGCGCTATGATGTTCTTGAAATCGTGAACTCGATGTCTTCTTTAGCAATCTGTTTTTTTTTTACTTTTTCAGTCAAAATCAATATGCCAACTAGAACATGGCCTAGAAATTCATGAAACTTTCGTTCTTTAATGGCATAACTTACAAGTTACTCATAATGGAGAACTGATATTCTGAGATTTTATTTTTCTGTTTTGCTGTACACGTCTAAAAAGCAATGGAAGACTCTACAGTCCAATTTTTTATTGATTTCGATTCTGACATGAATGGGTTTCCATTTTATTTATTGTTTCGGAAAGATACCTACTGTTTGTGACGTTACAATTGTTTTTGTTGTGACTTGGAAATGAGTTGTGCACTCAGTTCGAGATAATCGTTGAAATTATTTGTTGATTCATCAGGTTTTGCATGAAGTTTTTAACGTTATCGTTCCATTATATTGGAGTTCGTATAAGGAAAAACGTATTCAAGCTACTATTCAAATTAGAGTCACCATCGAACAAATTTCTTTTATTAGACATTATAACTACTTACGTTTGTTATATATATTTAATAAAAGTCGTACATAATAATATTATTATGTATGTCTAACAACGGACGAGTGTTTTGTGAGAAATTTCAACTATATGTCACCGGTCAATATGTTTCTAATTAATTAGTCAGGGCTCCCAATGTTGAACGATTTCCGTACCTTTTCAAACCAATACCTCCGAGCGTTTTGAGATTTTTGTGAAAAGGCTTCATCGGAACTGATAGCAGAATACCACTGTCGCAAGTTAATGTCTTGGATAGGATATAGTTCAGTCGGTATTTCGAATCTTGATGCAGTAAGACCGAGTTATTTTAGGCGAATGCGTTACATTTTTCAAATACTCATTTTTTTAAGTACTTTACCGTCCGTCAACTGCCTCGACAGTTGGGCCTTCTCGTGAGTCCCTGCTTCTTTATCACAATACAGCACCTTTTTCCTTGCTCCTGCGTCTGACGTGAGCCAGTGTGTTCCTCTATTATTCAACGGATTAAACTAGTACAAGAGTTGTGTTAATTATTTTTCAAAGTTAATGTCCATGGCGTTCGTCAGAAAAACTAGGAATTGATCATTTTTCCTGACGCCGAATTGTGCCAATGTTTTGTGTCCGGGCTACGGTCTTCTATTGTTCCAACCGCAGGTTTTTTAGCACTTTCGTAGACGTTTGTCCAAGCTGTAAAAGCCCATGATAATATCCCTTCGTTTAAGGTCTTCATAATGAAATTTCAGATAAAACGAAAAACAGTAATCTTCTCGCTTAGCAACATTCAAAAACTTCACTCATTGCCACTATTTTCTATTCATCGCGAAAATTTCGTTGAATGCTTTTGTGATAATTTTGTTTTATTTATTCAGTCTCGAATCTCTATCAGAATCTTGTGATACTTTTCTGTCATCGCGACTTGCAATGCAGCTCAATGTTGGCAGTCACCTGCGACTGAGTTTGTTGTAGTAAAATTCTTAGTGCTGTACAGTATTACGAGTAATACATCCAACTCCCACAGTTACTTGTAGCTATATGCTCCGTTTAAATTTCAGATTCAGCACTGATCATCACCTCCTACTCCATTGTCATCACAACCATCATGTTTCATCCGTCATTTCATCTGCAACATCATATTCATTAACTAAGTCTATCTTTCATTCCCATTTTTCTTAGCACTAAAAAATTGTCGCTAAACGGGAACAAATGTTGACACTCGTTTTCCGCGTGCAAAGGAGAAAAAAATATAATCCTATTTCTTTAGTTGTGTGAGCTAGCTGATGTTAGAGGTCAGACAGTGCAACCATCCCTTATAGCAATGCATTTGGTCCGCATAAATACGACCCAGATGAGGATGTATTTCTGTGGCGAATATATATGCCATCATGATGCTCGTATCTATGACAGTTGGCCTCAATATATATGCCATCATGATGCTCGTATCTATGACAGTTGGCCTCAATATATATGCCATCATGATGCTCGTATCTATGACAGATGGCCTCAGCTGGGCAGTGTGCGGCTGACTCGCATTTATGCATTGCACTCTAGCGCGCTCCTCTAACTTTATGCATTGCACTCTAGCTCTTCTAACTTCGTCGTGTCTCCTCCGGTGACAGTACATTTGCCCATGGTTCATAATTAGTTTAGTGAGATTTAGTGTTTTTTAGTGTTAACTAGCGCTAGATTTATTGCTGCATTGCGCCTTGCGTCATGACGGAGGTGCTGGCTGTAATGCTGGACATGAGGGACCAATATGCCTTGCAGCCAGCAGCAGGAGACTTGCCCTGCACACCCGGCATCGGCAATAATACATTCCTAAGAGGTTTTACTCGAGCTAATTGACTATTTTTATACCTTTTGTACCGTCATTGTAGCAATTGTCCTGGTGTGTTAGCGTAACTTCTACTAGTGTTTCACTAGAATAGAATTCGAAAGCTTTTGCAAGTTTTATTTTTGTTAGCCTCGTATTTGATGATAAAACTTCACCTCTCTATTACCGTCAACATCTAAACTCTTGGCTGTCTTCCTAATTAAAACCATATTTTCTCTGTCGCTTGGGCATTCGATCTGTTTACCTTCTTTTATTTCATGCATCTGAGCCTAAATTCGTGAAGATGATGCCACGCATGAGTTGAAACCAAGCTTCTTTTAGCGCGTTGACTTATTTTATGATCCGGTGTCACCAAGTCTCGTTTAGGTAGATTTACTTTTGACAAGCTTTCGTCCAGTTTTTTTTAAAATAAACGAACGGATTTGTAATAAAATTATGGTTGAATTTGTCTGATTTATTTTCCTGTTTAATATATTTTTACGTCGCTTCTTTAAGCTTTGATGGAGTTAATGGAGCTACAACTGAGGAAATGACGCTAGATGGGTCCTTTTTTCAGGTTTGCGAAAATCATCAAGATGCTAACTTTATTTTTTTTTTCAATTTAATAAGTGGAAATCGAGGAACTGCTCATAAATTTCATATGAAGAGAATGCTCATCTTTCATTGAAGACTAAGAAATACGATTTTACTTTGATAAATGATTATAGAAAAACAGTTAGGTTCGTGTACAGGTTACCTCGATATTTCAGCCCTGCTCAAGACTTGTCATCGGTAGTAAATCAGGAATTTAACCAAGTGTTCAATACGCCTGAGGGCCTTCAGGACTTAGCCCACAGGTTTTTAAATTTGTTGTCATACTCGGCTGAGCGAACGAGTGTAACAGGTAGCCAAACCAAAATGATTTATATACAGTAAACCATACTCAAAACTGTGTTGATTTATAATATCCACTATACTGGTTTTTGATGATCACGTTAGTATAGCGGCGTCAGTGTTAATTAGGCCGTTCGGCCTGTCGCCAATTCTTAACGTCACCGAATATTCAAAGCGTGTTGCAGTCTCGAACACGCAACTCACTGCTCCAATTTTGATGTGTTTAACCTCCCGTCCTCCTCGCCGATTTTACTGCAGCAGGTAGCTTAGATCGAACCCACAACTCACTGTTCCAGTCTTAGTACTCCACAGAACTGTATGTAACCACTGACGACATCAAGTAATTTGCATTTATGTCATTTTTCCAGACGTGTTATTTTTCTTTTAATTCCATGTAAACCTGGCAAACCGGTAAATATTATGTGTCTGTTCAGTTATGACATCCATTTCAGGTTGAAATAGTCAGTTCGCTACTAACTAATCAGATGGCACGCGCTTTTGTTTACCAATTATTTTCCGAGTTTTAGAATGCGGCCGCTGTTTGCGGCCCTTCATAAAAGGGAATATAGATTACGGTTCGAGCTTCGGTCGACTACGGACGTGTGTATGTGATAGAGTGAGTACATTTTTGAATCGGTGAATAAATAGAAAAGAGTCTTAATTTTGAGACGGGCACCTATTTGGAGTACCTTGTTTGTACAAAAAACCAGCAGAATGCCCAAGCCCAAAGCTAAACGTAAGAAAAAAGAATAAGGAGATGGAGCATCAATATCATCGATAATAATCATCCGACTGCTCAGAAACCTATTCTGCTTCCGGTGTCAGCATTACTAATCCCTCTGCAATACCCACCTGGTCACAAATGCCACCTCTCACTCAGCCTTGATGACATTGTACCACCTACTCCTAGTACTAATACAAGCAATGAGGTAAGAGACCACTTGGTTAATGATGACATTGAAGTCCTTGATATTGGACTTGGTGATACATGTGAGGGCTTTCATCCCACAATGGAAGGCCATATTGATGTTGATATACCTACCTACCTCTGTGGCTGCCTCACCAAAAACCAATGCTCAGTTGGGATCTCACTCATGAGACAGTACGTACAGCTTTCTAAAATGTGATCACAACTTGCTGTGCTGTCAACTGAGTGTCAAGTTGAATTGTGATAATTAGGCTAACAGCAAAATGAATGTTGTTTCTAATGCTTCATGAGAAACTACATAAGAGTGTATCTTAAATTTAATGAAAAAGCAGATAATAAATAGGCTATTTACATAATTATTACAAAAGATAAATGACTGCATCTTCTAAAAATTTGGCTATAATATTTGTTACAAATATTATTTTAACTTATTGCTAGACCCTGTTAAAGCGGCAAAGCACTTCAAGGAATGAAAATGTTTTATTCCTATCGCTATGCAACAGCTATTCTAAAACAGACTTAAACAGTCACAGCAAACCAAGCCCCACCCCAGTTGCACAGAGCAATTCACATTTCACACACTGTCCACTGACACACACACAGAGCAAGGCCAAGGCACAAGCCACACAGAGCAAGTTATATAGCTAGCAATTGACACATCACGAAGCTATGCAGGAGCATACCTAATGTTCAGTCTTAAAATGCCTAGCAAATTACGGACCAGGCAATAAGTCCAGGCCCAGCAGCTATCTCAATCAATCGTCAGCTATGCTGCTATGGAAAGATCATCGGCCGGATCCCTTGTGAATCAAGTCACGAAAAGTTCAAGAATCGGCAACAGGCCATGGGCCTATTTCTTCAGCGCCGACACTTCTATTCTATTACATCGACAGCGGCCGCCGCCTCACATAGTGGCGCCTCATCGGGTTCTGCTGCTGAAAGAGTGCTATAACGAGGTACTGACTAAAACCCGGACCGGTCCGCCGAACCCGGACCAAGTGACTAAAACCCAGATCCAGCCCCGGACCGGCGGACCAGTCCGGGTCCGGGTTTTAGTCACTTGGTCCGGGTCTGTTGGACCAGTCCGGGTCTGGGTTTTAGTTGCCAGATTGCCGGTTGCCAGATTGCCTTAGAGCGGACAAGTCCGCGGACAAAAAAAGCTTATTATTCAATATTCGCCAGTAAATTTCAATTTGTAGGGTCCGATGGAAAAATTAAATTTTCATTGTTTCGTAGGTACTTTCTAAAATTTTATAAGGAAGTGAGCCATCATAATTTTTTCCGGCCAATTCAATTAAAAAAAACTAAATAGCGGAATTTGTCAAGAAAAAATTACTATTTATCCCAACGGTGGGTCGTACCGCACTTAACGTGTTGAGGAATGCATTAGAAAATGAACGGCAGAACGTATTAGATATAATACCTGAAATAACACAATCCCGTTATTCTAAGTGCAAGTAATGTTGTGTAATGCACGTACTATCAGTCAATAATACAGTAAAGTATTATTATCTGATGGTAGGCCCGTTTTAAGGTTGAACTCTATTTGTTAACCGTTTCTTAGATGGAAAGATTTATTATAAATTATATATATTTTCGTTGATACAACGCATTTTCATTTACTACATTACTACATACATTTTCATATACAGGATATACTACGTACAGGTAATTCTGACCGACAGTACAAAATCTGTTTGAAATCTTTGTTAATTAAAGCATCAAGACTGTGGAGACGATATCAATAATTTTCGGACTTTAGCTGAAATTAGAATTTTCTTCAGCCAAATTCATGGCCATGTTTAACCATGAGCCAAATGAACTACGCGTTGCTTGCTATTCTTTTTGGGCCAATAAGCCCAAATTGAGCCGGCACTTTAATTTACATTAATAACATAAATACCAACGTGAACAATGTAAGCTTGCAAATTATTGATCATACCTATTTGAAATTTTATTTCTGCTTAATAAAAATATAAATAGAAGCAAATTCAATAAATAATCTATCTAGTAACAGCAAGCTGCTCACTGAAATGACGATCACATCAACATCTACACAAAGCACAGACATGTTCACTGCAGTTACGGACACATGAACATCTACACAAAACACAGGCATGTTCACTGCAGTTACGGAGACATGAACATCTACACAAAACACAGGCATGTTCGCTGCAATGACGAACACATGAAGCCATGAACATAATATCAATATTGCAAAATTAAGTTAGTGGAAAACCTGTAATTCGCCAGGGTAGAAAATTTCTATCCGTTCAAAGGCTACATATGCGTTAAAATTGTAGCAATAATAGATCATTAGAAATCATCTCATTCAATGGAAATTCTTTGTTTACCTGTACGAGGAATTATATCATCATTTAATATGACGTATATTAAACTTTTATTAATCTATTCCTACATCATTTTAGTCTTAGTAATAAGCACCACTTAAATACCAAATGATCGAAGTTGTCTGACTGTTCGAGAACATTTCGTAAGTGCACAGATGTGGAATTCTTTTTTGGGACACACCTGTTGAAAAAAAGCGAACATGAAACCAAACAGACATTTGTGTGTATAAATTCACGTGATATATGATGGAAATTTTTTTCAAGCGAGTAAGCGAGTTCTTTTTTAGTTGTATGAATAGAACATTTATTCTTATTTGGAAATTAGAATATGAAGTTTCCAGTAGACATCTTTTTTGTAATTGATATTTTTAAATACAATTTAATGCAATATGATGCTGCGAGTGTCTTTAGATGAGAATATGATTCCGGTTTGAAAAACATTATAATTCATTCGATTCAAATCCCACGTTCTACTTTTCCTCGATATACTGGTGTATATCACTAATATTTTTAAAATTTATACGTCACTTATACTTTTATGTCACTCAAGTTTGCCCAAAACCTTCATATCTCGGAAAGGTGATAAACTAACTGATGAACATTTGAAGACCTGTTTACAATTTTTTGGTACTTCGCTACGGGAGTCGAATGTAAATTTTGTTCCCCGTAACATGTAAAATGTGTGCTTGAAAAGATTGTTCTTTGATTTGCCTTCATTATTATAATTCATATTAAAAGGATTCGGAATAACGAGATTCCTAGTCATCGATAAGCTAAACTGATCCCAAGAAAAATTCTTCTTGGTCTTTACTAAAAACTTATTTGAAATAACAACTTCTGCTAAACTATACTAATATTCAGATAAAATTTCATGCTCAGTTCTCATATCCCAGATACTCTCATAAATCACGTGAATAAAGCGGTCTCTAAAATATATCTAAAATATCAGAAAACTTATGGGTTTTAGTTCTGTGTCTGAGTACTGACGCTTTGTGATCTGTTCATCGTGCGTTCCATTCCATGCAGGGAAATGTATTTAAACGAATGAAATTCAATTCCTAATATTTAGATGCATCTCATCTTTAATAAACAAAACATGAAACATACTTATATTTTTTCAGACCAAATTGCTGATGGAACTTATTACTAGCGCACAATTTTATTTTCTGAGCTGGTGAATTTGCCAGTGACCGTGAACGCGACCAATTTTATAATTGCAGCTTCGTATAGTGGTGCATATTAGAGCTCATAACATGTGTGCTGATGCAGGTGAACGACATTAGGATATCATCGCTTCAACGAAATATGATAGTAGTTGGATGATGATTCTTGTTTCATCATCATGGAATAAAAATTATTTCTATACTAACGCAAAACGAAAATCAAAGCATTTACATAAAATAGGGGTATAAATTCTGTACAACTCGATTATGTATAGCTTTATTTATTATCGCTTATTACGTATTATTTTACCTGTAAATTTTTTAATATTTTATGTTTATTTTGCGCATAAATTCTAATGCATCGAATAAAAATTCAGTGAACTCGTGCAGCATGAGATAAACGCAATCCGAACCTTCAGTCTGGCCACAATTATCGACATGAATATTTTTCGTATATGATGAGCATTATTTCGTGCTCGGTGACTGTAAATTTAAAGCCGAATCTGACATGCTTCTTCCGTGTCAAGTATCTCAAATTTCATATCTAAGAAGATATCCTATTTAAATCATGTTTAACAATTTTTTATGAATCTAACAGACTCTAACTTTTTATTTAAGTTCACTCTGTGTAAAAAATTGTATGAGCTGTGATTACCAAAGATCGAGAAACATCTTTCCAGGTTAAATTATAATAAATAATATAATTATAAATAATTTGTTATAAATTGATTATAATAAATTAAATAGAACCTCTAAAATTCCCCTTAAAAATTAATTCTCATTTACCTTTCGTCTAGAAGCTTGGACGGAAGAAAAGAGTTTGTAATCGGGTAAAATATAAATAATTTATAATCAGGTTAAATTTAGAGTAATAATCAGGTAAAATATGAAGAGCTTATAATCAGGTAAAATATAAAGATTTTATAATCAGGTAAAATATAAAGATTTTATAATCAGGTAAAATATAAAGAGTTTATAATCAGGTAAAATATAAAGAGTTTATAATCAGGTAAAATATAAAGAGTTTATAATCAGGTAAAATATAAAGAGTTTATAAAATCGTGTATAATATAAAGAGTTTATACTCAAGTAAAATATAAAGAGTTTATAAAATCGTGTAAAATATAAAGAGTTTACAATCAAGTAAAAAATAAAGAGTTTGTAAAATCTTGTAAAAAATAAAGAGTTTAAAATCAGGTAAAATATAACGAGTTTATAAAATCAGGTAACATGTAAAGTTTATAAAATTGGGTAAAATAAAAAGAGTACAGTATATAAAATAGGTTAAAAGATATAGAACAAACCTAAAATTATTTCGAAATATTTGAATCATAATTCCGTTCCGTTGTGGGCGGTGACTGAGCCATATAATTTGAAATATCGTATTTATATAATATCGGGATACGATTTTTTCATTGGATACTCATTCCGAATCCAAGAGCCTCCACATACTGACAGGTTGATAAATTTTCAATGTGCTGCAACCCAGCAAGAGACAAATTGCAGGGGCTTAGCATAAATGAAAATGTCGTATAGGTTTCCCTTGTTAACTCAACATGTTTGATAAATTACTGATCAATTCTCTTGTTAAATAAATAAAAGTTTTTTTGTATATATTTTGTTTTGTTTTAACTATTATTACTAAATTTTAATTATTAGTTAAAAAAGTTCGGTTTTCTTCATGGATAATTAGATTTTTTAAGATTGTCTGTCAATTATTCCTGGTGCATTATTTAAACTTATTTTATTTTTAGAAGTTAAATATTTATTCACAAATAAAGTGTATTTATTTTTACAATAATGCCATATTCCATTCTATATGTCTCGATTCGCGCAATGCTATTGTGATCTAGCTAGTCTCCCGAGCCCATTATTTATAACAAAAAATTTTCTCCATTCAATCAATGGTCAAGATTAAAACACTGACAGCATGTGCATGAAATTCCATTTTTCCATTCAGTAGTAACAATCTTCTTACATTTAATAACCGGCCGTTTTTTAGCACCATTTTTCTCTTTCAGTAGCCGTCTTCAACCAGCAAAAGACTGTCAAGATGAAGTTAATCCCGCTTCCTCTAGCCTGGCACTCTGTGCTTACGGTAAGCTAAATAATATATGCGTTTAAAAATTAAATTTTAATTTAATTAAATTTAATTTAATTAAATTTTTAAAAATTAAATTTTTAAAGACATTACCTATTTCTAAAGAATCCTGTGTCGTCGATGTTACACATGTGCAATGAATTTCTAATTTTATTTTCATATTAAAACAAATAAATTTTAATTTTTTTAATATATAAAAATTTAAATTCTCAAAATTGATTATTCTGTCAATTGATTCATGGATTGTCTCTGACTTTATGCAAGTGTGCAAAATTTCAGATCGATTGGACAGGTAGACGTGTGTTAAATATCGATCATAATATTTGTAGCAGACAAAATTGGTTTTTAATTTTTTTTTATTGTTTATTATGTCAATTGATACGCGCATTGTCTCCAACTTTACGCATATATAAAAAATTTCAAATTTATTTGAGAGGTAGAAGTGTGTTAAATATCGATTATAAGATTTGTAGCGAACAAACAAACAAACAAACAACAAGAAGTGAAGATAAAGAGAAGTGTTGCTAAAACATGTACACTTACGCTGACGTGAGATTATTATTGACATGTATTTATTTTTAATTAATATGGTATTGAACGAAACACACCGATTTGATATTTTATTTGCATCTCCTGTATGGATAAATTCAATTTGCCTTTTTTTCGCGTGTTCCTGGCAAATTTATTTATATCAACAACAGAATTTTTAAAATATGATTCATTTTTAGTCGTTTATAATTTATTGTCCCGATAGATTTCCTATAATTACACTTAAAAATTTTTTATTGTTATGCTGTGTCGTACAATCATGAAAATTTTGTTTCGTACCTCATCGCAAGAAGTGCAATTTCTTCCATTCTCTGGACATGCATTCTTATCTGTGTGGAAAACTTGGGACAATGTAGCAGAGTTTTCAGGTACCTAATATGTCCTGACGAAGAGGTGAACTTTAAATCTTCCAAATGCATGTCTCTGATTTACATATTCTAATATTTTTTGTAATAATTTAAATAAAAAAATTAAATTGAAACCCATTACCTGCGTGCAGCTCGTACTGTTCATGGCGCTGTCACCGCTGCTCGCTCTCACCGTCTCCGCCGCAGCCCCGGTGAGTACACATCTGAATATCGAGTTATATTTGCGCCTGAGCAAGAAACACATTGAACTCGAATTAAAGCTTATTTCGATATAAGGAACATTAAACTACATGATATACTTGCTAAATTATTCAGGTGCTTGAATGCATAGCGATTATGAAAGGCATTCTGTCTTATGTGGTTAGACGTTCTCATTTTAATTGCGATATCAATCGATTCTTTCATTGATCGCTAGTCACGTACATGAATAAGTGTCAAATAAAGCATTTAATATATTTATATCAAATGATAGTTCGCTTGTGATTGTAAATGATAGTATTAAATAATATTTGTTTCCAGAAAGTGAAAATCATACCTTCCGGAGCCAAGAGCATCTCTGGGTGTCGTGCGAGGCCTGTCTCTGTTGTCTTCAATAGCATCGTGAGCCGCGCAGCCAACGGCTCAACAGTGGTACGCGTGACGTGTGTTCTTACGTTGCCATTTATTTGTCGTATTTTAGCAGTGCATCTTGCTGCTTAGGTGTATAAAATATTCGTTAATATTGATAGCAACATATTTTTCAGCTCGTGTGTATAAAATACCCATTAATATCAATATAAATAACAACACATTTTTCTGCTCGTGTGTTTATAAAATATTTCTTAGTATTGATAGGAACGCATTTAGCTGCTCGTGTGTTTATACATTATGTATTAAAATTTAATGAAGCAGAAAGTGAAAAATCACGATGTCATCCGGTACCCATAGCGGTTTTTCATTTAGATATTTCAGCACTCGGTGAGGGCGAATAATTACTACGCTAATCACGTCTGTGATAACCGCTTTTTCTTCATCATTGTTCATCGACAATTCTTCCGTAAAAATTCTAATTTAATTTATTTTCAGTCCCATAATAATTATTTTCTGAATTTATGAATTTATTATACACTTGATGAAATCCATTGTTTCCGTGTTCCATGTTACATTCTTTCACTGTTTTCTTGAATGCAATGATAAACATTTATTAGTTGCGTTAGTTTGGGCTCACATGCTGGTTTCAATTGATCTATTTTGCAGGCATTTAAGCTGCATCGTTTGACCAGCGATCAAAAATCGCTGGCAGTCGTTAGCAGCGAAGGCGTGAAGGCTTCAAGCATTGGCGACTGCGCCCGAGCAGCGGCTGCCACAAGTGAGAACTGACGCTAAATTATATTTGTAATGTACCCAGGTTTTGAATTTTATTTTCTATGTATAACATTCTCAATTTTTGCTAAACTTTTCAATTGTGTAATCGATGTCGTTAACTTTTATATTGATGAAATGAGCTTTGAAACAGTGAATAATGCGTTTTCTCACACAAATGTTTGCCTGAGCAAGTTTTCAAATTCTTCATATTCAACAAAATTATTGATATTATTTCTTTGACTATCATAACGAATTGATGTGATATTTTACTCAGCCCTCCGTTTATTTCGCCCAGGTGATGCGTTCGAATACGCCGACGGGACTTGTTCATTGCTCAAATTGAGGCCGCTTAGCTGTACGGTCGCCGGGGACAACTATGTCTACGTCAGGGAGGGCTTCGTCGGGGACGGTATTGGTTGGGGGGCATAGGGAGCAGTATTAGCTGGGGACATTGTGTGGACGATATTAGTTCACTGATTCTTCAGCGCTGGTGACGGTATTGACTGGAGACATTGTGTGGACGGTATTAGTTCATTGATTCCTCAGCGTTGGTGACGGTATTGACTGGGGACATTGTTTGGATGGTATTAGTTCACTGATTCATCAGCGTTGGTGACGGTATTGACTGCGGACATTGTGTGGACGGTATTAGTTCACTGATTCCTCAGCGTTGGTGACGGTATTGACTGGGGACATTGTTTGGATGGTATTAGTTCACAGATTCCTCAGCGTTGGTGACGGTATTGACTGGAGACATTGTGTGGACGATATTAGTTCACTGATTCTTCGGCGTTGGTGACGGTATTGGGGATGTTGTGTCTGGGAAATTTTGCGTATCATGAGAATAAAGAGAAAATTTTTTATTTAATGCTAATTTTTTCGCCTACAAGGAAAGACAATACATGAAGTTTAATACAAACTTTTTTAATAAATCAAACTATCGATAAATAAGTAGATTTCGAGAATGTGACATGTCTGTTGTCTTTCGAGTTTATCACTATTCTATTCTATTCTAAAACACTTGAGTTATATGTTCCTTTAAATGATGACAAAATGTTCTTTCAACAGTTGGAAATAACACACTACAGGTCAACGGCTTGACCTACAAAGTGATGTATCTTAAGCCAATATATCAGGCATGGATAGACGACGAGACAACCATTTCGAGCGGTAAGAATGCCGTCAAGACTTCAAATTAATGTTTGTTTTTCTCCTGAATAAGCCGGCAAATAATGAAAGATTAGGTAGGTAGGTATTTCGTTTATTTATTTTACGGCATGCACATTTACATTATATTTATGTCAATAAGCTTGAAAGTTATGTTTAGAAATATGCGTTGTTGGCGAATTGTTTCTTTTCTTTCAAAATATTGACTTTGTTGAAAAATCTAAGAAACAGTAATGTATTGATGTTGTAATTAGATCTCAATTGCAGGTTTCTATCCAACTGAAGAAGATATTGCTCTCCATTTACCGGACGGAACAGTTAGAACTGGCGCCACCTCACATCTGGACTTGGAGCGATGCATATCTAACGACCCAAAAGGGATAATGGCTGTCATGCTTCAGAGTTCATATGAAACTAAAGATAAATTCTATTTCAGTGAGTTAAAGTTCATGTTATTTTCATAGTTCTTGTAAATGGGCATAAACGAGAACTGGCAAGGAAAATTATTCAAAAGTTGAATTAGTTCATAAAATCGGACATAGCTGATAATAACGTAGGTGATAATATATATTTTCTATTATTTACTAGTTTTGGCATTTAAACTCAAATTTTATTGACGATAATCATTTTTCTTATGATAGTAAAGAGCATGTGCGGAATGATCAACGTTTCCGTCGCACTGGACGACGTCTTCTTGTCGCATGAAGGACTCGGATGCACGCCGTTCCCGGCAATGACGTCGGAATGCGTCGTGACATTGGACGTTCAGAACGATGTTGAAATGCAGGGAGTGCCGTACGACTTTGTTAGTGAGACGGGCGATTGTGGCGGCCTCAGTGTAACTGTCACCCACCATCGCTATCTACAAAATTATACATATAGCATGTGCACTGAAACGGTGGGTAATCTAAAGTTTTAATTTAGTTATATCGCTTAGGCGCACGAATTTATTTTTGCCTTAATATTTAAAAAGCCATTTTAACTGAGAATTTTGAATTTATTTAGACACTTGCTTTATCAAGGGCTAAAATTCTCAACTTATGAAATTAAAAGTTTAAATCGTACTAAGTTCAATGCCTGCTCTGCCGACATCGGCGGCTGTGCAATGATGAGTTTGTTTCCTATCACCATACGACTCTTTCCACTGAAAAATTGTCCTCTGAAAATTTGTTGCATTATAGTGGCAAAATGGAAATGACTAAAAATATTGAATTGACCTGATGAAACACATATAACGAATCAATGACATTGAATAACGTAGATTTGAACTGTAATTCCTCTCGATTATTATCACCATTTTTCATCTAGCGGTCGTTGAAAAATACATTCCTATCAAGAGATCCATTTTCTAAAATGGCCGTTTCTGAAGTGAATGTGCACCAGAATGAGATGTGACATCGTTCATTACAGGGACTGTACGCACCATACAACTTCACACCTACTGCACTGTCAGAACTTCAGATCTCTGGAAGGGCCACATCAGATCGACAGCGAACAGGATTTGCCATAAGAATCGTCGAAGGCGACGGTTAAAAAGACTCCAACTGCAACATCAGAGGATCGGATGTGCCATCATGATCATTCTAACGCCAAGTTTAAAATAAATCCAGCTGCAATGAGGTAAAAATTTAAACATTCACCACCGCATACGACAAACTGTTCAGAAGACCAGTTTCCTTGAACATGTTGATTCCACGGAAGTAGTTTAGGCGAATTTATAAGTAATTAAGTAAATTGATTTGTTGAAAAGCACAAATGTCCATCTGCAGTAATCAAAGGCTTGAATGTGAAACGTGAATGGAAATACCGCAGCAGGTATTGAAAAAANGTTGTTGGTTTACAGGGGTATTAGGGATTATGTGTATAGTGTTTCAGAATTTCATTTCAGTTCGAATAGTTGTCTTGCACCTTTTTGGCGTGTTGGTTTACAGGGGTATTAGGGATTATGTGTGCAATATTTTATACATAATTATCGTTTTGCCTTTAGACTTATATTCACGTTTTGTGCTGTGGGGTTCCGACCAGGCTTCACTAATCTAATTTTGGAGGGGTTGAAACTTTCCTAAAATATTTTCGAGCTCCCTTTATAATACGTGCGCTATTTTTTAGTTTTTTTTTCTATTTATTTGAAAAAAATTATGACATGTTCAATATAATGCAGCCTGAATGTGTTTTTATTGCTGTAAACATACAGTAATTCCTGTGTTTGTTGTACTGCACTAAATATATGTATTGATGGTTGTTGGTGAAATTAAACCTTCATGTAGAAATATGTGGAGCGACCGTACTTAAAATACTAAGTTCAATAATCCGACGTTCTTAAAATGTAGACTGAATTCTACGTTATAACTTACACTTGCATGCCGCTTATTCCACTGAAGACTTTTGCCCAACCTGCATCTTGTTTCAATTCCTATATAAACCATGTAGTTTCAGTCTCGCCAGCACGCTTCAGAACCTGGACTTCTCTTTATTATTATTATAATTATTATTATTATTATAATTATTATTATAATTATTATTATTATTATTTCTTACACGAAGATATTATTGTGGCGTCTCGTTCAGATCGAACTTCGAGAACACGTTATAAGTGGCTAAAAAAGACACGAGAGGATAAAAACAGATGACGTCTATGCTAAAACAGTGGGTTTTAGTCAGTACACTATAACGGTAAACGGTTACCAGATTGCCTTTAAAGCGGCCAAGTCCGCGGACAAAAAAGGCCTATTATTCAATATTCACCAGTAAATTTCAATTTGTAGGGTCCGGTGGAAAAATTGAATTTTCATTGTTTCGTAGGTACTTTTTAAAATTTTATAAGGAAGTGAGCCATCATACTTTTTCCGGCCAATTCAATAACAAAAAATTAAGTAACTGAATTTGTCAAGAAAAAATGACCATGCATCCCACCGGTGGGTCGTACCGCACTTAACGTGTTGAGGAATGCATTAGAAAATGAACGTGTTAGATATAATACCTGAAATAACACAATCCCGTTATTCTAAGTGCAAGTAATGTTGTGTAATGCACGTACTATCAGTTAATAATACAGTAAAGTATTATTATCTGATGGTAGGCCCCTTTTAAGATTGAACTCTATTTGTTAACCGTTTCTTAGATGGAAAGATTTATCATAAATTATATATATTTTCGTCGATACAACGCATTTTCATTTACTACATTACTACATACATTTTCATATACATGATATACTACGTGCAGGTAATTCTGACCGACAGTACAAAATCTGTTTGAAATCTTTGTTAATTATAGCATCAAGACTGTGGAGATGATATCAATAATTTTCGGGCTTAGCTGAAATTAGAATTTTCTTAAGCCAAATTCATGGCCATGCTTAACCATGAGCTAAATGAATCTACGCATTGCTTGCTATTCTTTTTGGGCCAATAAGCCCAAATTGAGCCGGCACTTTAATATACATTAATAACATAAATACCAACGTGAACAATGTAAGCTTGCAAATTATTGATCATATCTATTTAAAATTTAATTTCTGCTTATTAAAAAATATAAATGAAAGCAAATTCAATAAATAATCTAGTAGTGTGTAGGCTGAAAATAATGAGTATAATCAATGAATTATGATTATAAGATTCCGAATTAAAAAATAGGGCCAGAATAGCCATCCAAATGAACGCGACATGTTCAGTAATTGCATTATAAAAATAATGTACCATAGAACAGCAAGCTGTTCACTGCAGTTACGGTCACATGAACATCTACACAAAACACAGGCATGTTCACTGCAGTTACGGACACATGAACATCTACACAAAACACAGGCATGTTCACTGCAGTTACGGTCACATGAACATCTACACAAAACACAGACATGTTCACTGCAGTTACGGTCACATCAACATCTACACAAAACACAGGCATGTTCACTGCAGCTACGGTCACATCAACATCTACACAAAGCACAGGCATGTTCACTGCAGTTACGGACACATCAACATCTACACAAAACACAGGCATGTTCACTGCAGTTACGGTCACATCAACATCTACACAAAACACAGGCATGTTCACTGCAGCTACGGACACATGAACATCTACACAAAACACAGGCATGTTCACTGCAGTTACGGACACATGAACATCTGTCTCTTATACACATCTAGATGTGTATAAGAGACAGTTGCNAAAGAGTTTATAATCAGGTAAAATATAAAGAGTTTATAATCAGGTAAAATATAAAGATTTTATAATCAGGTAAAATATAAAGAGTTTATAATCAGGTAAAATATAAAGAGTTTATAATCAGGTAAAATATAAAGAGTTTATAATCAGGTAAAATATAAAGAGTTTATAAAATCGTGTATAATATAAAGAGTTTATACTCAAGTAAAATATAAAGAGTTTATAAAATCGTGTAAAATATAAAGAGTTTACAATCAAGTAAAAAATAAAGAGTTTGTAAAATCTTGTAAAAAATAAAGAGTTTAAAATCAGGTAAAATATAACGAGTTTATAAAATCAGGTAACATGTAAAGTTTATAAAATTGGGTAAAATAAAAAGAGTACAGTATATAAAATAGGTTAAAAGATATAGAACAAACCTAAAATTATTTCGAAATATTTGAATCATAATTCCGTTCCGTTGTGGGCGGTGACTGAGCCATATAATTTGAAATATCGTATTTATATAATATCGGGATACGATTTTTTCATTGGATACTCATTCCGAATCCAAGAGCCTCCACATACTGACAGGTTGATAAATTTTCAATGTGCTGCAACCCAGCAAAAGACAAATTGCATGGGCTTAGCATAAATGAAAATGTCGTATAGGTTTCCCTTGTTAACTCAACATGTTTGATAAATTACTGATCAATTCTCTTGTTAAATAAATAAAAGTTTTTGTAAGAAATAGCGAACCATGCTATTGCTAAAAACGCTGCTGATTGGTCGCATGGCAGTCGACAGTGTGGTGCTATGGGGCCGTATTAACTCGTACAAGTAAACGTGTCGGCTGATTACTCGTCTGTAACTACTGGCGTCAGTGATTGGCTTCGGTGAAATTCCCGTCAGTGATTGGCGTCAGAGAAAAACCCGTCAGTGATTGGCGGATTGCTGGAAAAGGTATAAACATTTTTGACAGTACGCTTGAGTGGCCAGTTGCCTATCGGCTGGATTTCATTCGTCCCTCAGACCTCGTACTGAGGGCAACGCGCATTCCAGGCCACACTTGATTACGAAGTGAGGTGTCGAGTAACTCTGGTGTAGAAACTCATTGTACGTGAAAATACTGCAATTCAAACGAACTTGTCAGTAATTTTGGTGAAATTTTAATATTGTTCTATGTTATGCATTTCGATATATATATATATGGACAGTTATTCTCTAGCCTCATTTAGTTACTATTTTAAAAATATTCTTAAGTAGTGCAGTTATTTTTCTTGTAACAGTATCCGCAGTTGTTGTTCTCGAAAATTAATAAATATATAAAAATATTGGCCAGACATTTAATTTTTAAATTAAAAAAGCACTTTTATGTTAGTAGTTATACATGATAATACTCAATGTTAAAACAATGTCCATATTTTATTTTTTGTTGACTATTATTACTAAATTTTAGTGAATAGTTCGAAAAGTTTGGTTTTCTTCATGGATAATTTGATTTTTTAAGTTTGTCTGTCAATTATTCCTGGTGCATTATTTAGGCTTTTATTTTATTTTTAGAAGTAAAATATTTATTAAATACAAAGAAACGTTTATTTAACTTCACAATGATATCATTTTCCATCACATAAGTCGTGATTCACGTAATGTTATTGTGAGCTAACTAGTCTCCCGAGCCCATTATTTGTAACTAAAAATTTTCTCCATTTAATCAATGGTCAAGATTAAAACACTGACAGCTTGTTCATGAAATTCTATTTTTCCATTCAGTAGTAACCATCTTCTTACATTTAATAACCGGCCGTTTTTAGCACCATTTTTTTTCAGTAGCCGTTTTCAACCAGCAAAAGACTGTCAAGATGAAGTTAATCCCGCTTCCTCTAGCCTGGCACGCTGTGCTTACGGTAAGCTAAATAATATACGTTTAAAAATTAAATTTTAATTTAATTAAATTTAATTTAATTAAATTTTTAAAAATTAAATTTTTAAAGACATTACCTATTTCTAAAGAATCCTGTGTCTCCGATGTTACACATGTGCAATGAATTTCTAATTTTATTTTCATATTAAAAAAAATAAATTTTAATTTTTTTAATATATAAAAATTTAAATTCTCAAAATTGATTATTCTGTCAATTGATTCATGCATTGTCTCCAACTTTATGCAAGTGTGCAAAATTTCAGATCGATTGGACAGGTAGACGTGTGTTAAATATCGATCATAATATTTGTAGCAGGCAAAATTAGTTTTTCAATTTTTTTTTAATTTTTTTAATTAGTTATTCTGTCAATTGATACGTGCATTGTCTCCAACTTACGCAAATATAAAAATTTCAAATTCATTGGAGAGGTAAAAGTGTTTTAAATATCGATTATAAGATTTGTAGCGAACAAACAAACAAACTAACATACAAACAACAAGAAGTGAAGTTAAAGAGAAGTGTTGCTAAAACATGTATACCTACGCTGACTTGAGATTTTTATTAACATGTATTTATTTTTGATTAATATGGTATTTAACGAAACACAACGATTTGGTATTTTATTTTGCATCTCCAGTATGGATAAATTCAATTTGCCTTTTTTCTCGTGTTCCTGGCAAATTTATTTATATCAACAACACAATTTTTAAAATATGGTTCATTTTTAGTCGTTTATAATTTATTGTGCCGATAGACCCCCTAGAATTACACTTAAAAATTTTTTATTGTTATGCTGTGTCGTACAATCATGAAAATTTTGTTTCGTACCTCATCGAAAGAAGTGCAATTTTTTCCATTCTCTGGACATGCATTCTTATCTGTGTGAAAAACTTGGGAAAATGTAGCAGAGTTTTCAAGTACCTAATGTGTTCTGACGAAGGGGTGAACTTTAAATCTTCCAAATGCATGTCTCTGATTTACATATTCTAATATTTTGTAATAATTTAAATCAAAAAATTAAATTGAAAACCATTACCTGCGTGCAGCTCGTACTGTTCATGGCGCTGTCACCGCTGCTCGCTCTCACCGTCTCCGCCGCAGCCCCGGTGAGTAGGTATACATCTGAATATCGAGTTATACTTGCGCATGAGCAAGAAACACATTGAACTCGAATTAAAGCTTATTTCGATATAAGGAACATCAAACTACATGATATACTTGCTAAATTGTTCATGTGCTTGAATGCATAGCGATTATGAAAGTCATTCGGTCTTATGGGGTTAGACGTTCTCATTAATTGCGATATCAATCGATTCTTTCATTGATCGCTAGTCACGTACATGAATAAGTGTCAAATAAAGCATTTAATATATTTATATTAAATGATAGTTCGCTTGTGATAGTAAATGATAGTATTAAATAATATTTGTTTCCAGAAAGTGAAAATCATACCTTCCGGAGTCAAGAGCATCTCTGGGTGTCGTGCGAAGCCTGTCTCTGTTGTCTTCAATAGCATCGTGAGCCGCGCAGCCAACGGCTCAGCAGTGGTGCGCGTGACGTGTGTTCTTACGTTGTCATTTATTTATAGTATTTTAGCAATGTATCTTGCTGCTTGTACGTGTCTATAAAATATTCGTTAATATCGATAACAACACATTTTTATGCTCGTGTGTTTATAAAATATTTCTTAGTATTGATAGGAACGCATTTAGCTGCTCGTGTGTTTATACATTATTTTTCAATGTCGAATGAAGCAGAAAGTGAAAAATCACGATGTCAACCGGTACCCATAGCGGTTTTTCATTTAGATATTTCAGCACTCGCTGAAGGTGAATAATTTCTACGCTAATCACGTCTGTAATTACCGATTTTCTTTATCATTGTTCATCGACAATTCCTCCGTAAAAATTCTAATTTAATTTATTTTCAGTCCCATAATAATTATTTTCTGAATTTATGAATTTATTATACACTTAATGAAATCCATTGTTTCCGTGTTCCATGTTACATTCTTTCACTGTTTTCTTGAATGTAATGATAAACATTTATTCGTTGCATTAGTTTGGGCTCACATGCTGGTTTCAATTGATCTATTTTGCAGGCATTTAAACTGCATCGTTTGACCAGCGATCAAAAGTCGCTGGCAGTCGTTAAAAGCGAAGGCGTGAAGGCTTCAAGCATTGCCGACTGCGCCCGAGCAGCGACTGCCACAAGTGAGAACTGACGCTAAATTATATATGTGATGTGCCCAGGTTTTGAATTTTATTTTCTTTATATAACATTCTCCATTTTTACTAAACTTTCCAATTGTGAAATCGATTCAGTTAAACTTTTATTGACGAAATGTGTTTTGAATCAGTGAATAATGGGTTTTCTTACATAAATGTTTGTCTGAGCAAGTTTTCAAATTCTTCATATTCAACTAAATTATTGATATTATTTCTTTGACTATCATAACGAATTGACGTGATATTTTACTCAGCCCTCCGTTTATTTCGCCCAGGTGATGCGTTCGAATATGCAGACGGGACTTGTTCATTGCTCAAATTGAGGCCGCTTAGCTGTACGGTCGCCGGGGACAACTACGTCTACGTCAGGGAGGGCTTCGTCGGGGACGGTATTGGTTGGGGGACATAGGGATGATAAGGGATAGAATTAGCTGGGGATATTCACGGGGGACAGAATTAGCTGGGGTATTAGTTCAGTGATTCTTCAGCGTTGCGACGTTATTGGGGATGTTGTCTGGGAAATTCTGCGTATCATAAGAATTAAGAAAAATTTTTTTAAATAATGATAATTTTATCGCCTACCAGTAAAGACAATACATAAAGTTGAATACATTTATTTACAAATCAAACTATCGCTCAATAAATAGATTTCAAGAAAGGGACATTTTTGTAGTCTTTTGGGTTTATCGGATGCCAACAACTAGTCTAATATAGCAAAAATTATGAGGATGTTATCATGGGAAACCGTTAATCTTATAGCCTCTCGATCAGTAATTTTCCGTTTCAAATTTAAAGCAGTAATTTTTGTGATTTATTAGGAACAAATATATTTGTAAACTGCGTATACACCACAGTTCTAAGCAATCAAATGGTTTCGGCTAAAACACTAAGGATATGTAAATTCCTTCATATAATGACAAATGTTCTTTCAACAGTTATGCTACCTGAAAATATCACGCTGGAGGCCAACGGCTTGACTTACAAAGTGATGTATCTGAAGCCAATATATCAGGCATGGATAGACGACGAGACAACCATATTGGAAGGTAAAAATGCCGTCAAGGTTTGTTTTTTTTTCTCCAGAATAAACCAGTAAATTCATGAGATATTAGCTAGGTATTTCGTTCTATTATTTTACGGCAAATTTACATTATGTTTGTGTCAATAAGTCTGAAAATTGTTTTTAGAAATATGCGTATAGTTTGCGAATTGTTTTTTTTTCAAAACATTGACTTTCTTGGAAAAATCTAAGAAACAGTTATGTATTCACGTGATAATTAGATCTCCATTGCAGGTTTATATCCAACTGGAGAAGACATTGCTCTCTATTTAACGGACGGAACAGTTAAAACCGGGGCGACCTCACATCTGGACTTGGAGCGATGCAAGTCCAACGACCCGCGTGGGATGAAGGCTATCATGCTTCAGAGTTCATATGAAACTAAAGATAAATTCTTTTTCAGTGAGTTAAAGTTCATGTTATTTTCCTAGTTATTGTAAATGACCATAAGCGAGAACTGGCAAGGAAAATGATGCCAAAAGTTGATTCACAGTAAAACTTCTATAACTAAATTCCATTGAAGCAGCCTACGAACATAGATGCTAATATATATTTTTTATTTCCTAGTTTTGGTATTTAAACTCTAATTTTATTGACGTTAATGATTTAATTTACGATAGTAAACAGCATGTGCGGAATGACCAACGTTTTCATCGCACTGGGCGACGTCTTGTTGTCGCATGAAGGGTTCGGATGCACGCCGTTCCCGGCAATGACGTCGGAATGCGTCGTGACATTTGAGGTTCCTCTCGATGTTGGGTTGGATGGTGTGCCGTATGACTTCGTTAGTGAGACGGGCGATTGTGGCGGCCTCAGTGTAACTGTCACCCAGTATACGGATGGAGGAAATTATACATATGGCATGTGCACTGAAACGGTGGGTAACCGAAAGTTTTACTTTTAGTCATATCGCTTAGGTGCACGAATTCATTTCTGCCTTAATATTTAAAAAACCATTTTAACTGAGGATATTGAATTTATTTCGACGCTTGTCTTGTCAAGGGCTAAAATTCTCAACTTATGGAATGAAAAGTTGAAATCGTACAATATACATAAGTTAAATGCCTGCTGCTGCCGACATTGGCCGCAGTGCGATGAAGAGTTCGTACCCTCTCACCATGTGACTCTTTCCACTGAAAAACTTTCCTCTGAAAATTTGTTGCATGATAGTTTCAAAAAGGAAAGGACAAAAAATGTGAACTGACAAGACGATATACTTACATTGAATAACGAAGATTCGAAGTGTAATTCTTCTCGATTATATCAACACTTTTCATCTAGCGGCAGTTGAAAAATACATTTTCCATCAAGAGATTCATTTTCTAAAATGGCCGTTTCTGAAGTGAATGTGCACCAGAATGAGATGTGACATCGTTTATTCCAGGGACTGAGCGTACACTTCTACTCCGGCCGAATTGCACCGTCAGAACTTAGGATCTCTGGAAGGGCCACATCAGATCGACAGAGAACAGGATTTGCCATAAAAACCGTCGAGACCAGTGGTTAAAAAAGCTCCAACTGCAACATCAGAGGATCGGATGTGCCATCATGCAGGATCATTCTAAAGCCAAGGTTAAAATAAATCTAGATGACATGAGATAGAAATTTGAATATTCACCACCGCAAACTGTCCAGAAGACCAGTTTCCTTGAACAAGTTGATTCCACGGAAGTAGTTTAGGCAAATTTATAAGTAATTAAGTAAATTGATTTGTTGAAAAGCACCAATGTCCATCTGCAGTAATCACTAATCAAAGGCTTGAATGTGAAACGTGAATAGAAATACCGCAGCAGGTATTGAAAAAAAGGTATCCCACTAAAAATAATAGGTCAGTTACCGTATGGAGGTACAATCATAGAAGAACTCATATGATCTGATAAGAAAAATCTTTTCCTTCTACAGCCCAATATCTTTGTGTTTGTTTGAGGTCCAGGACCATAGTCATGTGTTTGCCAGATTTATCTGAACATAGTTTCATTGCACAGTTTTTGCGTGTTGGTTTACAAGGTATTATGTGTGCAGTGTTAGTATAATAGTATAGTATAGTATCTTCGGCATTAAAGAATAGGCCTGACGCCGATTCTTGTGCTTTTCTTGACTAGACTGGCTTTTTGATCAGATCTTCTCAACGGACGGTAGATTTAAAATCGATTCTAGATATCAGTTGTTCCGTAGGGTACAAGGCATTTTAAGACTAAACATATGCTCTTGCATGGCCTTGTCTAGTCTGTTCTTGAACGCGTTCATACTCTGAGCGTCAACAATATCTTCAGGGAAGCTGTTCCACATGTCGGTGACTCGAAGCGAGAAGAAATGTTGTCGCGTGGATAAGTTGCACCGCAAATGTACAATGAAGCGCAGTGTATGCTCCGAACAAAATGCTTCTCTCAGAGCACCTAATATGGATGTTAAAATTAAAACGTGTTAAGAAAAATTAAATGGAAGATTTGCACGAACTTTAATCTTGAAGGATACTTATTTTTTCCTCGCGTTAAAGTGAACAACCGTGAACCCAAAATATGGGTAAGATTGAAGAGAAGTTGTTCCTGCTCTGCATCCAACCGTTAAAAATGAGACTCGTGAAAAATAATACTATGTAAAAATTTATAGAGTCTACAATTAAACCTGAAGCAGAACGGTTGTAGCTAATACTGAGATGAATTTTAATAACAATATAAACTGTAGATTTTGTAAAAAAAACTACAATGCTAAAATCTGAATTTACAATTTAATCTGAAGTCCTTCTCTTCTTACCCAAACAATTTCCTACCAATTCACGAATCACATTCAGTTGCTTCCTTCAGAAAACAGCGTTGAACGTCCCGCGCTTCCGAAACAGTTTAATCAATTTCTTTTTGCGCGAATCTTGATTGATAAGCTATAACGATTGCAAAATTAAACCGAACTAATTTTAGAAGCCTGAACACTTCGTGCAACTAATCCACAGTGCGTTCCATTGAGTTTAAACGTTATTTTCACTCCTTTTGGTGCCTTTTATGAAAGAAATAAAATCAGGCAAAGGAGAAATGCAGCGGTGGGGGCGTTACACTTAATTAAAAACATCCTTCAGGAACGTGATATCCAATAGAAGAAAACGTCTATATAGCTAACTGAGTTTCTCTGTTCAGAAATGAACACGAAAACCCTACTTATATAATAATCATAGAAACAAACTTTTGTAGCTTCACATTCCGAAATAAAATAACAACCGAGACAACAAAAAAGGTAGTAGAACGCGAGGAATGCTTATGAGGACACCAGAAACGAACGAAAATCTTACGTAACCTTCAAATATATTTATACCAAAAACAAACTTCTCTTATCCCCATGCCCTCTACGTAGTATAACTTGCTAACGCACTCAGCGAGCCAACAAGCATTGTAAAAAAATTTTTAGCTTGTGTGAGATTTGATGCACCCGTATAGTGGCTACCATTTATCGTATCTTTATAGGATAGAATAGAAGAAATAGGCCCATGGCCTGTTGCCGATTCTTGAACTTTTCGTGACATGATTCACAAGGGATCCAGCCTTTGGAACCCGATCTTTCCATAGCTGACGATTGATTGAGATAGCTGCTGAACTTATTAATAATCCACCCTCCCAGCGCTTATAATAACTAACTTTAGAATCTAAGATACGAAAATTTACTAAGAAGCGACGTAAGGGCCTGAAAAAGTCCTATATTTATACAACTTCGTGTTTTTGCACAGAATCTTTACGTTATGGTGAGCAAGAGGAACAAATATCGACTTTCATCTCGTCCATTTAATATTCCTCGCCCTGCAAATCCCTAACATTTAGCAATTAATGAATATTTTCATTGGCAGTTATGAATGTCATCATGGAAGGAGCTTCAGGAGCTTAAATTAAATTTTCTTCACTTTATCTTCCCATTTAACGAAGAATGAGAAAATCAGTCTTGAGATTAAACCAGCAGGAGCTGCACTGCGAGCGCTCGACACGCACGCAAGATGATAGAGCCGAGGAAACTGGAATCACTGAACCATAAGAACCGATTAATGATCCATACATCCTAACTCACAAAATTCAATCTCACATAACACGATCGAACCATCAAAGCCTGTAGTTCGTTGAGTGAGACAAATATGAACTATATTTAGAAACCATCACTAGTATTGCTACTTTCACTTTGAAGTATAACATAACATAATATATAGTGATGTCGGCGCTGAAGAGTAGGCCTGATGTGGCCTGTCGCCGATTCTTTTCCTTTTCGTGCCTCGTTCACAGAAGATCTAAAATCGTGTCATTTGACCGGATCTTTTCACGACTGACGACAGTTTGAAATAGCTACTAGACTTCCACCGGGTTAGATATGGTGCTAGACATTTCAAGTCTGAACATATATTTTCCCCATAGCTTTATCTGGTCTGTTCTTAAACGCGTTCATACTCGGAGCGCCAACAATGTAATCGGGGAGGCTGTTTCACATGTCGGTGATTCGAAGCGAGAAAAAATGTTGTCGCGTGGATAAGTTGCATCGCAGTTTTTTTAATTTATAGCCGTGGCCCCTGGTGTTGGTTCTTGTTTCAAATTCTAGTAATCCTTCGATGACCTTGTATAAACCATGAGCATACTTGTATACTTCAATGAGGTCCCCACGTAGACGTCGATAACAGAACAGAGGCTGGAAGCTTCATAACAGAGGCTGGGCCACGGCAGGGTGACACAGCGGTTAAAGTTCAGAGTACCAAGATTGGCGCAGAGAGGCTCGGGTTCGATCCCAGCTCTGTGCGCCAGTTTCTGGTCATATGCGGCAAGGAGGCCGGGCGGTTAATTAAGCACAACAGAATTGTAGCAGCGAGTTGCAAGTTCGAGACCGCAAAATGCTGTGAATGTTCTGCGATGTTAAGAATCGGCGACAGGCCAACGTCTTATAAACGCTGAAACCGCTATTATTATTATTATTATTATTATTATTATTATTATTATTATTATTATTATTATTATTATTATTATTATATTATAATCTTTAATCTTTCTTCATAGGAGTTGCCCTCCAAGCCCGGAATTATCCTTGTTGCACGTCTTTGAACATTAACTATTAAATTTTTGTCTTTTTCAAATCTCGGTGACCACACAACGTTTCTAAACTATCGGGCGCACGACAGCAACAAACAACTGCTTCATCGCTTCTCCATCTAGGAATTCGTAAGAGCGTCTGATTAGTCCAAGAAGTTTGTTGGATGTGTTAGCTTGCGTTTCAACATGCTTAGAAAATTTCAGCTCCTTGTCGACATAAACTCCGAGATATTTTTTCAACTAGACTTTTCAATCATTACTCTCTCGTAGCAACCATGTCTTCTCATACCGTAATCTTGCTGTTCTTTGTTCTTTCCGAGGTGGAGTACTTTACACTTGTCAGCATTAAACCGCATCTGCCACGTATCAGCCCAGTTAACTAAACTGTCAAGATCATCATGCAATTGCGCTTTATTTGACGCATCCTTCACTGCATTATAAACTTTTGTGTCGTCGGCATACATAGAGCACACGCTGGACACTACTTCTGGCAGATCGTTTCCAGAAGCAACGAACAAAATAGGCCCAAGAAAGCTTCTTTGTGGCACGTCACTGCGCACTGATGTCCAATCAGACACGGTTCCGTTAATACTGACACGTTGTCGTCTACCTAGTAGAATATCTCTTATCCATTGGAGTACGTTTCTCTCAATTCCCAAAGACTTCACTTTACGCAACAGCCGCTCATGTGGAACACTGTCAAATACTTTGGCAAAATCGAGGTACAATGCATCCACTGGCTTCCTTTCGTCCAGCAGGCGAGTCCAATAGTTCAACGTAGACAATAAGTTAGTGGTGCAGGAATCGGGATCTACCGGAAATAAAACCATGTTGACAAACTGATAGGAGATGGTGAACAGTCAAGTGATCGATAATCCTATCCCTCACAACAGATTCCATTACCTTACAAACAACACTTGTCAGACTGACAGGGCAATGTCAAGAAAAATATTTTTCGCGAGTTTCATCCAGTTCTTGTCAAGAACTAGGCTAGCACATAACAATGTATTAGTTAGGTGGTATATAAAGAACTATGCTCTCAAATACATCGTAGTTATTATCAAGAAATAAGATTATAATGCCCCGACATAATAGATTACTCACTCAAGCAGCGCCGGCCCGTCACGTCTAGCACGCAACCGTCCGCACATTCGCATCACGTAACCGTCCGCACACTCGCATTTGAAGGAGCAGTCCGAGTCCGTCACCGTTCGTGTTGACGCATCCGCCTTAAGCCCGGTCCACACGCTCAGTTTTCACAACGATTTGTCTGCGCAGTTTTAAGTCGGATTGAAATCGTTGCAATTTTTAGAGCTATTGATTTCTTATTAATTTATAATTTTTGTATTTTCTTTGTTGTTTTGTTATTTTGTTGTTTGCTGTTTTGTTGTTTGTTTTTCCTTAATATTTATTTCATTCAATACTTTATCCTTATTATTTATCTATGTTTAATTTTGCATTAAAAATGTATTATTTATATTTATTTATTATTATTTATTTTTTTTTTCTGTTATTTTTAGTTTATTTATTTTATTTTTTTATTTTTTTTTTATTTTTATTTTTCTTGTTTTTTCTTTTTCCGTGTGTGTTCTCTCTTTGTTTCAGATTTTAACTTTCAGAGCTGTTAGACTGTTAGGTACCAATTAAACCCAGTTTAGGCAAGGGGCTTTATGGACTAGCTTCCAGTGCTCCTATAAGAATAAATTAGAAAGAAATTAAAATATAAAGAACAAACTTAGAATTATTTCGAAATATTTGAATCATAATTCCG